GTCCAAAGAAAGTGGCTGCTTCAGTGAATTCTTCTATAGTTGATAATCAAGCTACTGAACAGGAAGAGTTTGCCAACACTTTGCCTCATCTTTCTTTTACAAAGTCTCAATATCTAAAAATCATGATGCTAATCAATGAGGAGAATATAAATCCTGGAGATAAGCCATCCTCTTCAAAGAACTGTGGTATGAATTCTCGTCAATATAAGCCTTTGATTGTCCATTCATTAGTGGCAGGTATCATTGCTAAACCTTCTTGCTTCAATTCACATAATTTTTATAAGATGATTCTATGCATCAAAATACCTTTGAAAATGATCCTTATCTCTATATAATTGATTTAGGTGTTTTAGATCACATAACATGCACATTAAATTTTTTTCATTTCATCAAGGCATGTTAAAAATATGTATGTGCAAATGCCAAATAATATTCGATCTGTTGTCACTCATATAGGATCAATTAGATTACAATAGAATTTGGAATTGCATGATGTATTATATGTTCCTAACTTCAAGTTTAATCCAATATCCATGAGCAATTTAATTGAGTAAAAAACACATCAATTGATTTTTATTGATTTAGAATGTATGATTCATGACACCCAGTAATGGATGATGATTGGTCTTGCTAAGGTTAAAGTTGGATTATACATCTTGCAAAATAAGGAAGGGGCTATTCCAAATGATCAAACTACATTAAAAGTCCCTGTAGCTTTTCTCCTCAATAATGGTGTTTTCAAAAATAATGTAGTGCCCTTTTCATATGTATATGCTGCATCTTGAAATTCTTTGCCAAAAACATTCAATTTTTGGCACTTTAGATTGGGCCATATTTCAATAAAAAGATTGCAAGCTATGCATAAAAAATGTCCAACAGTGACTTTTCTTCTAAATTCAGTTTGCGAAATTTGTCCATTGGCTAAACAAAAGAAATTCCCATTTCCAATTCATACTAAATCTACTGTTGAATGTTTTGAATTAGTCCATATGGATGATTTTAGTAAATTCACATAGGTTTACTTGATGAGAGCTAAATCTAATGTCCCTTCCAGTATTCCTATGTTCTATAATCTAATTTTGACCAAAATTTGATTAAAAAATAAAGTAAATTAGGTCAAATAATGTCCCTGAATTTAATTTACTTTAATTTTATTCATCAAAAGGAATTATTCATCAAACTTCTTATGTGGGGACTCCTCAACAAAATGGAGTGATAGAAAAGAAGCACCAATATTTATTAAATGTAGCTAGATCATTACTGTTTCAAGCAGCGCTACCAATTATTTTTTGAGGTGAATCAATTATGGTTACAGCTCACATTATAAATAGAGTGCTTACGCCTATTTTAAATAATTTGACTCTTTATGAAATAATGTTTGGAAAAACTCTTGATTATTCACATCTTAGAGTTTTTTGAGTCGTAATAGAAGAAAATTTTGATCCAAGAGCTAGAAAATGCATATTTATAGGCTATCTTTGTAGAAATGAAAGGTTTTAAATTATATGATCTGTAGACACAATCAAATATTTGTTTCCAGAGATGTTATTTTCTTTGAGCATATGTTTCCATATCAAGATTCACATCTCATTCATCAACCTCATGACTATGATAATTTATTTTCTGCAAATCTATTTATTGTTCCATCACATTCTTGCCTGGATATAAATTGTGATTCTAACCTTTTACCTTCTTTGGATGTTGATGACAACACTGTTGTACCCATTGATACCTCACCATCAAGTCTAATTGATTCTATTCCTCTCCATAACTCCTTGGATAATCTTTCTGAGCAAAATGCCTCTAATGAATTTGTTGTTGATAGTTATGTTGATGAACTACATACCACACTTATTCCATTTTTTGAGTCTTCACCAACATCCTCCCTCACTAGAAAAAGCACCAGAATAAAGAACATTACAAAATATTTGAAAACTTACCAACATGACTTACCTTCTCAATCCAATTTGGTCACCAATCGTCCAATTCAAAATGTACTTTCTTCTAGCTTGACTATCTTATCCTCATAGAATTTTGACTACTTCTTTAAGCCAAATTCTCAAACCTAAAACCTATAAATAGGCAGTAAAGTATCCTTGGTGGCAAACGGCTATGAAATCTAAGATCGAGGCTTTAGAGAATAATGGCACTTGGTCTGTGGTTCCTTTTCCTAATGATGCACGTACCATAAGATGCAAATGGGTGTATAAGGTAAAATTGCGAGTTGATGGGAGCATTGAACAACTTAAGGCTAGGCTGGTTGTGAAGGGTTAGAGTCAACAGGAAGGATTCGATTATCATGAGACTTTCAGCCTTATGATTAAACATTCAATAGTGAAGGTATTTCTCTCTCTAGTTGTAATTTATGATTGGTATCTATCTTAATTGGACATAGACAATGCATTTCTTAATGGGGACTTAGGGGAGATAGTGTATATGAATCTACTCGAAGGCTATCTAGTTCAAGGGGAGTGTTCAAGATCCTCACGACTAGTTTGCGCTTAAACAAGCTTATAGAAAGTAGAATTCTAAATTCACTATTACTCTCATAGATTTTGGGTTTCAATAGTCTAGGTTAAACTGTTCTCTGTTCACAAAAAAGACTGACAAAGGAGAGTTCATAGCTTTGATGGTCTATGAGGATGACATAGTAATTGGCATCACTACAACAACAGCAGCAAAGGAGGTGAAAAAATATTTAAAAACAAAATTTAAGCTCAAGGGCTTAGGACTTAAATACTTCCTTGGTTTAGAGGTGGCAAGATCAAAAAAAGGTATTTTTCTTTGTCAAAGAAAATACTCTCTAGATTTGATCAATGAGCATGGATTATTGGGATGTAAAACCTGTTTCAACATCCATAAACTATAATCATAAGCTTGCAAAGCATATGGTTAATGAAAATTTTGTGAATCCTATTATATAGAGGCAGCCGCAACTGGTGGGGAGACTTTTATTTTTAACTTTCACTAGACCTGATATGGCATATGCTGTCCATTGTTTATCACAATTTATGGAGAAACCTAGTGATGTTCATTTGCAAGCTGCATATACGGTTCTCAAGTATTTGAAATAGGTATCAAAGCAAGGCATACTACTGGCATCTCATTCTGATTTGCATTTGAAGGTGTATACTAACACTGATTGGGCTAGTTGTCAAGACACCAGAAAGTCTATTGCAGGTAGACCTGTCAAAATGGGCTTGGCCCGTCGGGTCAGTCCATTTTTTTTAAAATATGGGACGGGCCGGGCTTAAAAATTTAAGCTCGTATTAAAACCGGGTCTAAACGGGTTGGTACGGGCCAGCCCGACGGGCCGCAGGGGGGAATCGGGACTCGTGGGAGCCGGAGGGGGGCGGGCAGGGCCGCAGGGGGGAACCGGGACTCGTGGGAGCCGGAGGGGGGCGGGCAGGGCCGCAGGGGGAACCGGGACTCGTGGGAGCCAGAGGAGGGGGGGGCAGGGCTAGCCCGGCCCGACCCATGGGCTAGCAAGGGTTGGGCTGGGCTGAACATTTTGTAGCCCATATAAAATATGGGCCGGGCCGAGCCAGCCCATATTTTTTCAGCTCACAAGGGTTAGGGCCCGGATGGGCCGGGCCGACCCATATTGACAGGTCTAATTGCAGGTTTTGGTGTGTTCATAGGTGATTCTTTTGTGAGCTGGAAATCCAAGAAACAATTTGTTGTGGCAAGGAGCTCTACAGAAGCTGAATATAAGGCCATGGCTGTAGCATCTTGTGAAACTGTATGGATTCTATCTCCACTTGTTGATTTTGGTGTTACACATAAAGAACCAATTGATTTTTTTTGTGATAATCAATCTGTTCAACATATATGTAAAAATCTTGTCTTTCATGAAAGTACTAAATATATATAGATAGATTGTCACTTTATTAGAGATAAAGTCTTGGATAGAATCATCATTCCACATGTCTCCACAAAGAATCAGTTGGCAGACATGTTCATAAAGGCATTACAACCTGCACAGAATTACCACTTGATGGGCAAGATGAGCAGTATGAACATTTATGCCCCTCCGGAGGGGGAGTGTGAAGAATGAAACAGGAGAAAAAGGATAAAATTTGTAAATATTTATAAAGTTTTAAGGTTATTATTGTAATTAGAATAAACCTTATTTTATATTTATATCTATAAATATCTCTCGTATAATGTAACTTAGCCGCAGCTTTCAACCATTAAAAAAAAGAAAGACGATAATTTTAGAATTCTTATTGAACCTGCATCTTTATTTCTTTTGTTGCATTTTTTATATTCGGATTCTTTCAACATGATATTATTAGTGTTTGATTTTCTTTGACATTACAATTTTTGTAAGGAATTGTTGGAGAAGTTAATCCTATTAAATTGTAAGTTAAAAGGTAAGAGGATTACCTATCCTGATAGTATAAAACAAATTGCTTGTAGAAATTATTTGGAAAGAGACTAATCAATAAAGTATTTAGATCCAAACTCAAAGGTTAACCTTTGATGAAAAGGAGTCTACTATTAGTTCAAGGAGTAATGATGACCTTTGGATGAATGGTCATAATTAACTTATCTATAAATAATTAGTCAGAATTAATTGATTCAAAATAATTATTCTATTTCTATCTTTTAACTCTCAATCAAACTTTTTTTCTTTTGTTTTAATTTCATCACTACAGAGGGAATTCCATATTGGTTGTTTGTAATTTTCGGATGGTTTTGTTGAATTTTAGGGATATATTACCATTAATCTCAATAATCATATTGGAGGACATAATTACTTAAGGACAGTATGTGATTATAATCTATACACATCGAAGCATAGAATAATAATCGTCAAACTCTGTTCTTCAAATTGCATATAAATAACAAATTCAACTGGAAGTTCTGTGGGAGGGGAGGGGGAAGGTTGAAGAGAAACAGAGGAAACGAAAGAGAAATAATAATAATAATTTTGACATATTTGCACTATGCTATCTAAGTAAAATATAATCAAAATCATCAATAGGACACATGTCGTTTTGTTTTAATCTGCAACAAGAGTTATTGGTGTTGTTTTCTTCATCACAATAAAAGTTTATTTGAATATAAAGAACAGTTTATGCCACGATTAACAAGATGAATTTTAATTAACTTAATTTAAAAAGAAATTTTAAAGCCTGATTTTTTTGTTCTTTTCATTCATTGGATGCACTAATATAAGGTTTTTCAACTCGATTCATAAGGATCCTTCCACTTAAAAAAATCACTCTGTTTTCAAATTTTCGCGCCAGAAGAAGGAAAATGAGAATCGCAGAAATCTCAACGCCGGAACTCCGGCCACCTGCACATGACCCGCAATCCCCTTCGCACCACCAAGACAATCACCTCCTCTCTCAAATCGAATGCAAAATCAAACAGACCGAAACCCACCCACCCGATACTCCACTACCCGACTCGCTCCCTTCCGATCTCCGCCAACTCTTAACTCACCTGACTCAACTCCTTCCTTTCCCCACCACCAACAACTCTCTCAAACTCCACCTCTGGAAACTCAGCTACCGTCTCTGGAACGCCTGCGTCGACCTCTCTAACGCCGCCGCCATCCGCTCTCCATCCTCCAATTTCTCTCCTCAAAATGTCGCTATGCTCCGCCACGTGGCAGCCGATATGCTCTTCCTCGCCGTAGATGTCGTCGGCGTCCCTTCTCCGGTGATCAAATGCGCTTCCTTCTATTACAAGACAGGTCTGGTCTGGCACGATCTTAAAAACTTCGATCTAGCCTCAACATGCTTCGAGAGAGCCACGGATCTCATCTCGAAGCTCGATATAAGGAAAATATCGGACGCAGGAGAGAGGAAGCTTCTGTTAGATCTAAACATCGCGAGGTCTCTCACCGCGTGGGAGATTTCAGATAAAAATCTCGCGATAACATTGCTGAACCGGTCCAAAACTCTCCTTTTCGGTTCACCAGTTCACTTCAAAGCTCTGGCGAACCAGTTCTTAGCTTTTGCTAAGACCGCTTTATCGAGAACTGAAAATAATGGTAGCTTCAACGAAGCCTTGAAGCTTATGAACGAAGCTTTGGAATTATGCGAGAAAGGATTATCTATTTCCCGAACACGAGAAGAAACGGTGGAGATCAAGGAATTAAAATCCAAAACCCTGCGTTTCATCTCAGCCGTCCATTTGCAATACGGAGAGTTCGAAAGCGTGATCAAGTGCGTTAAAGTTTTAAGGGAGAACGGTGGTGAGAGTGGAGATCACCACGCTTCATTGCCGGTTTTGGCAATGAAGGCGTGGCTTGGTTTAGGGAGGTATAGTGAGGCGGAGAAGGAGTTGAAGGGTATGGTTGTTAATAAAGGGATTCCCGAGGGCGTTTGGCTTTCTGCGGTGGAAGCGTATTTTCAGGCTGCGGGAACTGCGGGGTTGGAGACTGCGAAGGGGATATTTTTGGGGTTGCTGGGACGATGTCATGTTAGTGCACGCGCGGCTGTGAGGGTGGTTCATAGGGTGGTGGGGGACGATGGTGGAATTGAGGGGTCGAGGATTAGAGCGAAGGTGGTGTCGGAGCTGGCCTCAGATGAGAGAGTGGTTGCGTTGTTTGCGGGTGAGGCTGTGGCGAAAGAGAGGACGGCCATGCATGCTGTTCTTTGGAATTGGTAAGTCGGTAGTTAGATTTACCGCGATTTTCTTTTCTAGGTGATTGCATGTTTTGATTGAGAAAAAAGAATGCATATGTGTAGAATATTCAATTAAAGGGGTATTTAATATTTTGACTTCACTGTTAGAATTATGCAGTTACATTGCTTTTGATTGTTCTGAGCTAGATGAGTATGGCCGGAGTAGTTTGGTTGCTTCATTCTTTCTTTCAATGGCACAATACCATTGTTACTTCAATGATTCAATCACCTTACTGACAAACATATTAGTAAAAGTTACGTAGTTATATAAGAGATAATTAAAGCTATATAGGGACAAATAAGATATATAAGATGGTACCATACATATATACTCCAAAATATATTTGTGCTTTACCAAGGTGTCTCTTTCCCTGCAAGAAATGTATGTGTTCTTTCTTGTTACAATAAACAATTGAACTCGCTTGATGTGACAGAATTACTGTAATCTACAAGTTAATTAGTATTTGTTAGCTTTGCTCCCTCTCAATTTCATTTTGCCTTTACAGTGGTTCAGGTAATTTCCGATTGAAAGATTATGAAACGAGCGCTGAGATGTTTGAGAAATCTATGCTTTATGTACCACATGATATAGAGAATAGAGTTCTTCGAGCCAAGGGCTATAGAGTTTTGTCTCTCTGCTACCTTGGTCTTACTCAACTTGATCGAGCTCAAGAATATGTCATTGAGGCTGATAAGGTATCTTGTGATCTGTGAATTTTAGTATCTAAGATGACAAGGGTCCAAGCACTATGTTGATTTGTCCCAATCTTCTCTATTTCTGCAGCTTGATCCAAACATCGTATGTGCTTTCCTTAAGGTACTCTCTTTCTCTCGAACACGCACCCCATGTATTGGACTTAAGACAAACACTGTCAATCTGTCACTGGTGGATTCACTAGCTTAATTACAGCTATGCAGTACTTAATTAATGGATAGTCATAATCAATTTTATGCCTATCCTGATTTATGCAGTTCAAAATCTGTCTGCAAAAGAATGACCACTGTGGTGCTATCAATCAGATAGAAACAATGATAACCTGCATGTGTTTCACTCCAGACTTTCTGTCTCTCTCAGCCCACGAAGCTGTTGCTTCCCGTGCTCTTCCTGTTGCTGTTGCCGCACTTTCCAAGTTACTTAACTTCTACACCTCAGGGAAACCAATGCCAACAGCAGAAGTTGTAGTGCTACGCACCTTGGTCGCAGTTCTCTCTCAAGACCTTGGTCAAGAGGCTGAAGTCCTAAAATTCTTGAAACAAGCATATGATAGAGCTTCTAAGCTTGGAGCTGACTGCTTTTTTGGAAAAGGAGAGGTTGGAAGACGAGAACAGAATTGGTTTGCCGTAACTGCATGGAATTTTGGAACAAAATGTGGAAAGGAAAAGCACTATGATTTATGTGCTGAATTTTTTAGACTGGCTTCTGGATTTTATAGTTTTGTTGTTGATGGACAACTGGAAGAAAACCATATCATGACTTGCAGATCATTGATACTGACTGTATCTGCAATGACTGCTTCAGAGACCCAAAGAATGATTCCATTGCCAGATGCTGAAGTAAAATGTGCTGTTGAGCTGCTAGAGAGAGCAGGGAAGGCATGTGTCATAAATTGTCAACTTTATTATTCTCCACAAGAAACTATTAAATGTTCATTTTGTGTTGCAAATGCTTGAAGGCTGCTGTTCATACTTGAATATTTCTTCTGTTGAAGCTGTTTTCCCATATAATACTTTGATTTGATGCATAATGCAGATACTGAATTCGCTCTCAGTGGGGTCCCAGCTAACCGATGATAAAGTTGATACCATTGAGTCTGACCTCTTTTTCATGTATGTGCTCAATGCCTATGATATGCATGGAAGACTTAACAATTTAGAGTCCCAACAACGCCTTGTTAAGAGCTTTGCTGGCACAAAGGCTTGCAGTCCTCAATACCTTCTCCAAATTGGCCTGAATGCTTCACAGGGTCCAAGGTTCAATGTAGAAGTGGCAACCTTTGCTCTCAGTGAGTGTCTCTCAGGCTTTCTTTCTTCTGCCTCTCCAGACTACCAAAATGTGGCACTTATTGTCCGAAGGCTGATTGCAATAGCTAGCATTCACAAGGGTGATACAGATGACGATGCGGTGCTTAGTATGTACAAGCAAGCATACCGAATAATGGTTGGGTTGAAAGAAGGGGAATATCCAACAGAAGAGGGCAAATGGCTAGCAATGACTGCATGGAATCGGGCAGCCTTACCTGTAAGGATGGGACAGATTGATGTGGCCAAGAAGTGGATGAATGCTGGGTTGGAACTTGCTAGGAAGGTTGTGGGGATGGAGACTTATCAGGCATGCATGGAGGATTATGTTGCCGGATTTGAAAAGAAATTTCATATGCAGGTTGCTGGTGAAAGCCGGCCTCAACTAGGGCAGCAGCATGTGTAAATCGCATAGATTTTAATACATGTTTCTTGAAAGAGATAGCGTCCATACATTCGTTAAACCTCATATACTGTATGTGTCGTGCCAAATGTTATGCAACAGGGAAAAAGAAAATGAAGATAAACATTTACTCTGCTTGCCATTCCAATGACTGTAATGCAATCTTTTTTTCCTGTTGTAGTTAAAACAGGAAATTATAAAAAAACAGAACAAACTAGGAAGCTACATCAGGATGAGATGTAGCCCCAATAGCTTGTATAAGTTCTGGGGTGCGCAACCCCTACAACAACCGCTAAAAGAGCAAGGGAAATACAATCAGGAGGCGTATTATACAAAACAAAATCCAGCTCCTGAGTGACACCAGCTTTGGCAAGGATATCAGCACAAGCATTCCCTTGGCGGGGCACATGCCTGACTGCTTCAGCTCCCGTACTCTGCACAAGCTATCTGCAATCAGCGATGGGGGAACCATAAGAATGATTAATGGTACCGTTAGCTGCAACTTCAAGTCCTCCATAGATGGCCCATAATTCAGCACTGAGGCTGGTAAGTGTCACCAAGCCTTCCAGAAAATCCAGCAATGAATTTCCTTTTATGGTTCCTGATGACCCCTCCTGCCCCAGTGGGAGCGGGATTACCCCAGGATGAGCCATCAGTGTTAATTTTGAAGTGACCTGTAACTGCAATCCAATCCTCTGGTGAGATGTAGTTTTAATATGAAACCAATACTTTACTATCTCAAACATAAATGGAAATATTACCTTTTTGTACCACTCCAGGCTTCTTGTCTGGACTCTCGAGATGCTCATGACTACTCCGTTAACATCTTAAAAACCACACATTTAAGTTAGGTATATTATTAAAATATTAAAAAAATAATTTTATATTAATATTTTAAATTCTTTAAATATATTTTAAAATGAAAATCAAAATAATAATATTTTTGAAAGAATGTTAACGGGTAAAGTAGTGTTATTTTTAAAATACCTTTAAATTGAACTACTTAAATCTTATAAATACGTGAATAAATTTTTAAATTGTTTGTTGAACTTATTATCTATTAATTATTTTATTAAAATAATTTTATATATATTATTAATAAAAATTAAATTAACGAATTAAAATTAATTTATAAAATAATAAAATTAAAGTTTAAGATCATACTTAGAATAATTAATAAATTTAATTAATATTTTATTAATTATAAAAAGTTTATAAATAAAAAATAATTTAATATATATTTATGAAACTAACTTTTAATATTAAAAATCATTAATCAAATTCAAATATTGAGCATCCTTCTTGAGCCTACCCCCAAATGACAAGAAACAATTTTTTATTTAAATTCGATTATAAAATATCTTGACTTATCCAAGTGTATTTGACAAGTATATCTTCAATTAATTGAGCCTAGGAAAGAAACTAGGGGTCAAGCCTGTTTTAGGCCTTTGAACTGATCTTGGCTAGTGAGAGCTCACTTTACCAAAGTTTCCCAGCCAGGCCAATCACTTTTACTCTTATCATCGTCTCCCTCTCTCCGTCTTTCTTGACCCTCATAATGGAGTCCGTTTCTGTGATCCACTCATCATCTCCACCCTTCCGAAACCATCCAAAGACCCACAAACCAACCTCCTCCAAATCCAATCCTTTTTTCCCAAGCTCCTTTCCCATCTCCACTTGCATTCCCCAAACTCCTATTAATCAGCAAACTAATTTCTTCACCAATAAACTGACCTCCCCCTCACCCTTTACTCACTCCCGAAACCATCTCCAAAGCCCTCTTTGGATTCTTAAAAACTCTTCTGTTTTACAATCTCTAACCCAAACCCATCTTTCTTTTACCTTGTTTAACCTCCTCACTTCTTTTCCTTGTCTCGCCTCTGAAACTGTTATATCCTCAACTGAGCCAGGCAAAGTAAGCCTAGAAGCAATCTTGGTCTCAATTGATGAATTTTTTAACGAAAACCCATTTTTTGTTGCTGGCTGCACCTTCATTTGGTTGGTTGCTGTACCTTTAACTAAAGAGTACTTGAGCAAATGCAAGTTTATATCTGCCATTGATGCGTTTGGGAAACTCCGTGATGACTCAAATGCACAACTTTTGGATATTAGAGATGACAAGACTCTGGCTTCTTTGGCATCACCAAATTTAAAACTTTTGAACAAGGATTCCGTTCAGGTTCAGTTTACTTCTGAAGATGAGAATGGATTTGTAGAAAAAGTTCTGCAGAAGTTTCCAAACCCTGCAAATACTGTTCTTTGTCTTCTTGACAAGTAAACCTTCGGAATTTGCCTTTCATTTTTTAACAAAAACTTTAACTTTTTTGTATCAAAATTTTACCGGCTATTCTTGTTTTTTCTTCTTTGTATGGCTAAGGTAGTTTTGATGGAAATTCCTTGAAAGCGGCTGAGTTATTGTATCAGAATGGTTTTAAGGAGGCTTATGCAATCAGGGGAGGGGTCAGAGGCAAGAAAGGGTGGCTGGTAAGTCTCTTTGTTGATTATTAACCTAAGGATTATTTATCATATGACTGAGTTCAGTGTTTATGGATCTTGTAGTGGAGCTCTGGTTTTTCTTTTTCTTTTTTTTTTGTTCTGCTTCTGGGGACAGTGATGCAAGTCCATTCTTTGTCGTGTCTGGTTAGTATTTTTTAATTATGTTTCTTCTACCGGAATATGTTTTTGAGCATTTCACAAGTTGGTTGGCTCTTGGGCATTGCCCTTTATATGCCTAGCAAAGTTGATAATGGGTGGGAAGGGGTCAATTAAGAGTGGCTATGTGAAATTATTCCAATGCTTATCAGGGATATGCCAGAGAGTTTGGGGTACTTGGGGATGATCTAATGTTGCCTAGATACGGCTAGATATGCCAGAGGTTTCGCTTCAGAAAGCTTGAAAACAATCATTAAATATGGGGTACAAGTTTGTATTATACTTGTATCTTTTAGAAGATATTGCTGTTGATCTGAGTAGATAAGCATTGAACTCTGGAGAAAAGCGCACTTGAAATAAAACATCACCTAAATAGGAGGTTTTTTGTTGATAGACTGAGGTAATTGAATTTAAAATCTCTCTTCTTATGTTTCTTTTTGTCTTCACTCTCAATGATAAAATCATTCCTTCAGTATATAATTCTTTGGACAGTTAAATATAAACATATAACTTGATAAAGTCTTGAGTAAGAGTGGTGTTGGTCTTTCCTTTGTGTCTAGAAACCCAAGATGGTTGAGAAAGTAGCAGTTATTGTTTATCTGCTGCAAGTCTAGAATGAAGATTATATGTATCATTCTTTTGGTTTCTTGCAGGCGATACAGGAGACCCTTTTGCCACCTTCTGTACATATTAAGCCTAAGAAGAAGAAGAAGAAGGTCAAAATATCTCAACAGTTTGGTGTAAATGGAGCAGTTGGTCAAGTTGAGGATAAGAAAGAGGATTCTTCTTCTACAAGTGCCCCTGTAGTAGAAAGTCAAACTATAGATCATGAAGTTACTGAATCCATGCCACATGCGAAAGTTGGTTCATGGTCCTCCTCTCCTTACCCTAATGTATGACTACACTCTTTTTGTTCTGCAAGTGCTTTTCTAGATGAAATTCAGGGGATAGATTATAAACCTACAAAATCTGTCATTTTGCTAATTGTGGTTTCTGGTCCTCCTCTTCCTACTCAAACATGTTATCTCTCTCTGGTGTTCAAGTTTCTCCATGGATTGATGTTAAAAGGTTCTGAGATCAAAGAGTAGAAGTAGAATGTGTTAACAATGATGTCAGAAACTCAATTCAATTACATGGTTGCTGCTATGGAAATAATGAAGAAGCTGCATATGATTTTTTGAAATTTTTTCTTGTCATCATTATATGTAGCTACTTTTTAAGTTTATAAAGCTTGCATTGTTTACTTTAATACATGAAGGGCTTAACATTTATAAAATTTACTGACATTTTCCCTCATTTTTACTATAGTATCCAGATCTGAAGCCACCATCTTCACCAACTCCATCAAGACCATGAGAATTATACAACACAAGTATCTCGGTCTGAGATCACCTACCCGCATCATTCATAGCTTGAAGGTCATTCCACTTTTCAGAAGTGACTTTTCATTTTTGTAATTATCCAATTTATTTAATTTCTAGTTTTGACTAAGTTGATTCTGCATATGATGGTACATTATGTGCAATAATTAGGGTTTGTCTTCTTTGTTTGGGTGGCAAACAATGGAATGACTGTAAATTCAGAGTATCAAATGTAGAGAACCAAAGTGGTAGATGTTATTAGCTATTTTGGGTATGTTTTCCAGTCAAGTATGGAGTTTCTGATGCAATTTGAATGTTTTGGAACTGAATTGATGTGTTAGGAATCTTTTAAGGTGAGATTCTACCAAGTGATCAGGCAGAGTATAAAATGTAAAGAATTATTGAATATCCAGCATTGGTGGGTGTCAGGACAAGTTAGATTATGCAATGGGCACATTTACTCTATTGATTTTTTCATCTAAAATGTGCATGAATTATAGATTGGATTCAGTCAATTAAAATTTTACTATGTAAGTATACATATTGATTATATAATATATAAGCAAGTAGAGTATCGATCTCACAGAAAATTGATTTAAAATTTTACTAAGTATTAAAATTATGATAATTTAATCTTATCTAAACAATCAATATCAAATAACTAAATTAATTAACTAAAAATAATTAATCAAAATTTAAATTAAAATGAAAAATCAAAGTAATAATAACTGGAGTAAATATCAAATCAAACAAACTTAGAATTATAACATTTTTACACTTTATTTAAATTTAAATTTTCTTTCTTAACTTATTTCGATGAGTCGAATTGTTAATTTAGAGTCCTTAATTATACATAAGAGTTTTTCGACTCATCTTATAAAAATATCTATTTTAATCAAAACACTATAACTTTATGTGAATTGAAATTAAAATAGACTGATTAAATTCAAGCTCTAATCTGGTTACATATAATTTATAGGTATATCTCTATCTTATATGCAAATCAATTAATATGATCATATGTTATCTCAATTTTAGTTTACAACAAATTTCATTTTTCAAATTTGTTTAAGTTCCTAAATCAATTTAATTGATGATTAGGCAATTAAAAGCATTAAGAACAAATTGAAATAAATAATTCAAATCCCATTAAAGATAAGCAAGAAAGAGATTAAAACCTTAAATTACATATGAGTTCAATTGCAATCATAGAAAAATAGTTTAGTTTATAAAATCTAATAAAAACTTCATCTAAAAAAATTAGTCATTAATTTAAGCCAAAGAAAATAAGAAAAACACAAAAGTAGAGAGACAAAACTAATAACTGAAACTTTATGATCATGATTCTCCCTCCAATTCTCTTGCTTTCTTACTTCACTTTTTGCTCTTGTTCTCTTGAGAAATTGCTTGTTGCATTTTCTCATAAACCTTTGAAAAAAACCCCTTAAATAGCCTCCAAATGTCCTAACTTCCAAGATCCCATAAACTTGTTATTTTTGAAAAATTCATTGAGCGTCGTGGCTCTCATTTTCAAAAGTCGTGGCTCTCAAAGGTTTTGCTCAATTTTGTTCTTTTGGTGCAGTATTTTCACTTCGATAAAGATTTTGACAACATTTTGCTTAGAACTGGATAAAGTTGTAACCATCAAAGTTGTAATCCTACCACTTAACTTTCTAATAGTTCAAAAATTATGTCATTTGGACTTCTATAGTGGGAGATGCACTTGAAAAACCGAAACATATAACAGAGTATTAGTTTATTATGCAACTTTCTTACAACCAATTGGAAGTTATTTTTTAATCCTAATCCTACAACGAAACATAAAAATAATATAAATAACATAAAACTAATATTATTAACTTAAAATAAACATTTAAACATAAATTAAACTAAATTCATAAAATAAAAGAAAACACCTAACTTTGATCTTAAATTTAGTCTAACGTAGACTAATTAGGCATTTAATCTCCCATTAAATATATGTATTTATGCACACACCACACTCCATGGCCATGTAAACATAGATATAATTAGAGAGGCCATGTATTCATTGTTTAGTTTAGAAATGAACCCTTCACAAGGAAAAGGATAGGAAGAGTAATCTTTTACTTCTGAATAAAATGAGGGGAAAAAACTCAGAAAAAAAAAAAAGAGGGAAAGACATGAAACTCAAATGCTAGTAGTTTGCTTATGGCTAAATACCTATGTAAGCTCTTAAATTATTTCAAAAAAATCAATTAAGCTCTTATCTTTTTATTACGTTCAAATAAACTCCTAAAATTTTGTTTTGCATTAAATAAGCGTCTTTCACTAACTGTTGATTAATTTTTGTTAGTCAACTGTACAATTAAAATTTTTTTGTCATGTGGTAGATGACCTGTATTAAAACTTGCGAATTAGAAATTGAGTTTTCTCTTTTTACCCATCCACATGTTCAAAAATAATTAGATTAGGGATTTGAACCAAAAAAATTAAAAACCTAATTGCTTCAAACGAAGTTTTGATTACCAATGTTCTTAACATGAAATAGGTTTTTAACAAAACAATGCAATTGAGTTTGAGAAAAAAACTCAAACGCCATGGGTTAGGAATTATTAAAGTGAGAAGACATTTGAGCAGACTTTTTGTTACAAATCTTTTTCATGATCATAATACCTTTAGGATGAATGTCTATTCCAGGCCTAAGAAATTTGTTTTCAATTTGCATCTATTTATCAGCATAACAAATTTCAAAGGGAGGGTTAAATTTTATCTTTATAACTTTGTGTTGGGGATTACAAGGAGTGGTTCTTTCAAAGCTTGGAGGTTTAGTTTTGATTTCGAAAGAATATTTCTCTTTAATATATGGGATATGCTAATCATCAATATCAGGCTTTGAATTCTCATTCTCACCATTACATGAAGGATATGTTTGGTTTATAAAATGGAATAGAGTATGATGAAATAGCCACTCTGTAAGAATAGAATAAGAGAGGAATAATTATCATATAGTTGGATTTATGAGATGAAATAAAATAAGAATTGTTATTATAAATTATTATAATGTTTGGTTGACAAGAATAGTTTCAATAATAGTTAAAGAATAAGTAATAAATTATAAGAATACCCTTCATTATAATATTTAATTTTTAAATTAAAATATTTATTATTTTAATAATTTATTAAAAGTATTATTAAATTATTATTTGAATTTTAATATCATTATTTGTTTTAATTTATAAAATATTAATAATTTATATTGCATTTAAAATATTAATTATTTGTAATTAAAACATTAACATCATTACTTTATTTTTTTTTATCTTTAACATATTAATATATTACAAATTCATAATTAAAATTTTAATTTAATTTTTAAATTTAAAATAATAACTTTTTATAATTTAAAATTAAAACTTAAACCTTTTATGTGAATTCATTTTAATTATTTCTGTTTTACTTTATTTTCTTTCTTTTTGTTGACCGGCCACTAGAGATGTGGCCAATTGGCATAATAGAGCATCATTATGTGCTCCTTATGGTAGGATCAGGCCAGGGATCACCAAATTAGCACTCCCTACGATCGAATCTGGTCATAAGTGCTAGATTCAATTGCAAAATCTAGTTGAAAAGCACCAACTTTGATGTTTCTCGTGATTGGTTTGGTTGGGGAGCACTTGATCGGCACTTCCTATGACCAGCACTGGTGTTGCCACTGCCGTCATCATTGGCCTTTGATTGTGGAGGGAATGTATAGAGAGGAGAGAGGAGGAAGAAGGGTAGAATAAAAAAAACTTGAGAAATGAAAATATTTTATATTATATAGGCATAATTTTTGAATTTTTAAAAAGATATTTTCATTTAATTGAATTTTTTTTTTATTCCCACCAATCCAGAATAGCTACTATTGAGGGAGGGCTCGATAATGGTTATTCCAAATCTTCTTGGGAATGACTATTCCAAAGAATAGTCATTTCATTGACATAAATAAATATTGAAGTTAGTAATGGGAATAAAGATGGAATGACTATTCCATTCCCTTAACTAAGTTTCCAACTGTGAAGCAACATTATGATCGGCTATAGGAGAGGGATGGATTGATTACAAAGAAAAGGGTTTCTTTAAGGGGTCTTGCTAGCGTTTGATATAAGGAAGTAACAACATATATATTACAATGTATTTAATTAAATAATATTACAGTATTTATTTTATAACAAATTACTACAATATATAATCACAGAGCAATCACATTACAGCTAATAAATATAGCATGATTGCAATCTAAATCAAGGTAATTAGATTGCATTGCACTTTGTAATTTTTTTAAAGACATTTTTACTTTTCAACTTTGCTACTTTATTAAAAATATTTTCCAATGTTAGAATTTAGTTTTAATTTACAGATTTCAAGTGATGTCTTTTTAGTAATCATGGTGATTGTTAATAAAATTATATTATCTTTTAAAGGGAAAAAGTTAAAATAAAATATATAATATAAAAAATTATATTAAGAAATGAAAATAAAATATATAAGATTATAATAAGAAATAAAAATAAAATATATGACATTATAAATATATTTAAGGGATGATATTATATAAAAATTAATAATAAAAAATATAAATATATTAAACTTGCATTTTAGTTAATAGGGGTAATTCTAGAAATTGATATTATATTTTAAGCAAAGTACTTATAAATCAAATATTGTAATATTATCTTTCATAGCAAACATTACAATATTATTTTCCCTATAATTATATTACTTGCAATTACATTACTTGTAATTATATTATCTGTAATTATATTATATTGTAAAGTATAAACACCACTTGAATCCTTAGTGACTTCTTTCTTAGTATCAATGGCATTGTCAAACAAGCTTGGATTGTCCATCATTATGGTGTTGAATGTTTCTTTATATCACCTTTTGGAAAAAGAGTTTCGGCAAATTATTTACTAAAGCTAGAGATCACGAAGGTGTTACAAATTCAAAAGAAGTAAAAGGAACAATTTCACTTGGAGAAATACTTTTGTTTCTCTTTAATATAGAAATTAATATAAATTTACATAAATAAAATAAAATAACACATCAACATGTCTTGTGGTACATGACGTGATATAAAATTAGTAATTGTATCATTAATTAATAAAAGTTAGTCGATAATTAAGGAGAGGGGTTTATTTGGTCTAAAATAAAAGTTTGGGGATTTATTTGAATATAATAAAAAGATAAGAACTTAATTAACTTTTTAATATAATTCAAAGATTTATTTAAGAATTTAACCTTTACTTAATTAAAAAAATTAATTTACAAGTTATTATAACAAAAGCTCCAAGTCCAATCAGTCCAAGGTCCATTAAGCTCCTTTTACCAGCTTACAGGGCAGGTTTCCCATCGAAGAAGCGTTCTGCAAAGTGCTTAACTACCCCACCTCAATCCCAGACGGGACCAAGGGACAATATCGAAACATATATCTCTGTTTCAGTCAAGCTCTTCAAGTTTAACTCCCAACGAACGGAATTTGAACCAATCATTCTACTCAGGAGCTTTTTCGATCACACCGTTCCTTTTTTGGGTTTACCAGATTTATGGAGGTGAGTCTTCAATTCCTATCCATAATTAAATTAAATTTCCGGGTTTTTGGAGAGAAAATAATTTTTGGACTTACTATTTTCTTATTTTAGCTTTTATGTGTTTAGCAACGTTGGAAGTGTTTTGGACAGTGATCGAAGTAATGATGGATGTTTGCAATTGGGACGGAACCGTGTCTGCAAAGGATTTCAGAATTGGTGCTCTCTCATTTGCTCAGAAATGGGAAAGTCTTAACTCTGCTTTTCCTCCATGGTCTTGGGTTCCTTGTCCTAAGCACTCTTGGCTTGCTTCTCATGAGGTTACTCTTCTCAATCTTTTTTAACCAATTCTTGTCTTAAAATAACTTAATGCTTTGAATTTGGATTCAACTTGTTTTTAGCTTTTGCAGGAGGAGGGATACTTGTCACTGGAAAATATATGCATTTCCAGGCCAAATGAGGTCCGGTTTCAGATTTAATATATTATATTTGAATATTTAAAACAAAGCTGATGTTTTCTTCTTCTTTTTTTTTTTCTTTTTTCTGTTGCGTGCAGGAAGATATTGATCAAAATAGTCAAACTGACCCTGGGGAAGAAGAGACCAGTTGCTCTGAGAAAGAAGATGATATTGACGATGCCACATTGGTATATACATTTTGGACTAGTTTTTCAGTTATGTAGCTTACATTGAGTGTAAAAAATGTGGGACTTGGGAGTAAACATGGATTTACCGATAAACGTTGTATTTTATTGTTCTACTGCCTGTTAGTTTTTTGTCTGACCTCGATCATGTTCATGTTCTTTTGCTAGGTCCAAAGCAATCATCATGAATTGCATTACTGTGACTTCCATGTAGTATACAGTTATACATTTAGGGTTCCGGTGCTATATTTACGTGCTTACTGCAGTGGTAAGTTCACCCAGCCACTTCCTCCCTCAAGGTAGCAATTATGTTAGGAAATTTTGTGTCAGCTTGTGGCATAACATACATGGTGACATAATTTAGCTTGTCTATACATGTCACTGTTTGAACTTTTAGATCAGATATTAGGCTGATGTGGCTGGAAGTCCGAACATATAATGGTTAGTATAATTGATGGTAGCATTGTAGCATGCTTTGTTAACTGATAGCAGGAAAAGGGGCCTTCTCCTTTTAGTGAGTGAAATCTTTTGAAGAGTGGTGTTGCTTGTGTTGCAGCTGGAATTAATGTCATGTTCTTCATTAAGGAACTCTTTCATTTCACAAGAATTTTGGTGGTTAACTAATTATAAGTCTTGTGAATCTTGTAATTCTAGAATACTGATTCATAGATGATGCTCTGTCTTAATACTTTAGCATTGTCCATCATCTCTTTGTTTTTCTATTGTCTTACAAAGAGTCTTCTCAAAGATGATAGGTGGTTCAATTATGGAGACTGTGTTTTAAGGATATTAACCTAGGGCAAATTTAGCATGGCTAGATGTGATTTGGCAACTTCAGACTATTAGAACCAACCTAGAGTAGGTGCTGATAAGCTGGGTTACCAGTAGGATTATATGCAGTTTGATAAACCTGGCAAGAAAACAAGCTAAGTTCAAGTAAACTTAACAGTACCAAATTTTATCACAGCAGGACAGACCCTGTGCTAAGGAATCCTTGCATATAGCACAACCATGCATTATTGGAGGACCAAGGCTGTTAGTGGCAAATGAAAGATTTTAGATTGTGTTTATCTCGGGTTGTTTGGGAAGCTGTCTGGTTGGTGTTTTACTTATGTTAGTATGTGCTGTATGTTGATGGTACACCAATGGAATAGGTTCTCGTGCTCTTATGTGTGCAGGCATATGTGTGGGTGGATGTCTATGGATGAAGTTCAGTTTTAAATTGTTCAGTGTATTAATTATTTGAAGAGAATTACTAATGGTTTCTACGCGGTGTAGATGGACGACCTTTGCTGTTGGATGAAATTGAGAAGGAGCTTCCTGCCTGCTCTTCAAAGGAATTGCCAGAAACAAAATGGGCGTTCATAACTCAAGAGGTATGTTTTCCTACCTTCGTTTATCTCTTTACCTTGGTTGTCTCTTCCTTATCATGCTAATGAATTTTAAATTGATAAGAATTATTCCAAATTCCTGTTATATTCTTTCTCAATCTATCTTACTCAAAATACTGGGTTATGTTCAAGATGGTTATCACGCATATTAGTTTAGAACGACCAAAGGATAAATATTGTTAAGTAGAGATCGTGGCAACCTTATGAGGCTGAATTCTACATAGAGCAAATTTTGCTTAAAATTAGCTGTTTTTGTACAAGGGTATCGTGCAGCATTTTCATGGAGGTTAATATGAAGGTGATTGTTGTGTGTATTTTCAACTGTAGGAACATCCATACTTGAAAAGGCCGTGGTACAAATTGCATCCATGTGGGACCAGTGAGTTTATGAAGCTGCTTTTCCTTGGTGGTGATACTGCTCAGCCTAAATTGGAGGTGGTCCTGGAACTCTATCTCCTGTCATGGTTCTCAGCTGTTGGTCAAGTGGTTGGTCTTACGATCCCTTGTAAAATGTTAAATGACCGCTGATAGTCCCGCCTTTTTTCTTTCCAGGTTCTTATACAGTTGAATCCAATATTTTTCACTCAATAATTTTAATTCTTTTTTCTGCAAAAGCACATAGAACCTCCTCTTTTCCCATGGCCTTCACTTTCAAGCTTCAACCAAAGTGTTGAACAGTTTGGGTAAATTACAACGCAGCATTTTTTTTTTTTTTTACTTTTGTTTGGCTAAAAGAATTTTACATCTTTCAGTAGCTTGGAAATTGAATAATTACATGTAAGTCTCTCAGTTCGCGTTATCGAGGGTACAAAAAATATATAAAGAAGCTAGCAGAAGATTGATTTCACTTATAAATCAATATGACGACTGGATGCAACCATTCAAAGCAAGATGACGACTCCCTGTTGTAATGAATCTGTCCTGCATAAAATCGTCCATGGCTTTACTCTTGCTGAAAAGGTTCACAGTGACAGTGGGGCACGATGTCACATATGGATGGATACCTAGCTCATACCTCATATGATACGCTATTCAGAACTTTTCCCTGAAGTCCGACTAAAGCAAACGAGAAATTCTGTATTACCCTCAGCACCTTTTAGAGGAGACTCAATCCATCCTTTGCTTTGAAAACCAAAGTTCTCTACACCCTTTATGATCTTTTCAAGAACCTACATGATGCAACACAACAAATCTTAAATTAGCTTTCTCAAGTAGTAGCTTTAGCCCATCATATGAGATTTTCAAAAAGTCTCTATCTTGATGATGTTATTTTTGCATACCTCCTGATGAACTTGGGGATCTCTCACAATCCCACCACTTCCAACCTGCATAGGGGGCTCAAAAAGGTTACTCGTAAAATCAACAGTTAGCCTAACGGAACCCTCACATACAACTAACACAATTTTTTAGGTGCTCCTTCAATTCTTAACTACATCACATCCATAATGGAAAATGAAAAACATACATTTTATAGGCATGTGGTATATATATGTTCACTCCACATGTATAAATATATTTCTTACTTGAGATCTACGAGCTTCAAACTGAGGTTTAACCAGGGTAACCAGAGTTGCCTCTTCCTTCATTGCATTTACTACAGCGGGCATGACCTGTTTACGAAAGTAAATAAATAACAAAAGATAATGACAAAGTTAACCATAAATGTTGTTAAGCATGGCATTGCTTTTAACAAAACTACTTGGTTATAGATAATCACCAATAATAATTCTGTTTCTTCCCTCCTTTTGACATTCAACAACAATCAACTGAAATAAAAAATAGAATGGGCAGTGTACAGGTGTTGAACGGCAGAGCATTGTTTAAGACAAAGAAGCCTTTTGATGAATCTAGGAAGTTCAGAGGTCTAAAGAGACAGAACGGAATCGTATGAAGAGACAGACTGAAAATAACAGTAAAACGTAATGCAAGCATGGTAACAAAGCAGTTTGGAAATATTTGACAATGCTTACCAAGAGAATAGAAATAAATGAAAGGTCCAGTGTCACCAAATCAACTTTTTGAGGGAGACCAGAAAGGTATCTTAAATTTGTCCGTTCAATCACACAAACACGTTCATCTCGACGAATCTTGTCTGCTACCTATTCAAAATTGAAATCCAAATGCAATCAAGAACCATTAAAAACCCAAAAGTGCACATCCATTTGAGACAGGGAACATATCATTTAGTACATTTTGCAATCAGTGAACATAGGGGATTGCTTCTGTATAGATAAAGCTTCACTATTCAAAAATTAAGGTAGAAAAGAAACTACTCTAAATAATTAATAATGTCTTCAAGGAGAACTTTTCTTGGAAAGAAGAAAGACTATCTTTGTCCTAAAAGCCAAAGCATCATTTTATTATTCAGAAAACTATTACTCAGCAGTGAGAAAATTAAATACATGTTCATTCCAAAAACAGCGTCTCAAAATGTAATTAAACCAAGCATTTTGTCCACACTTTAAAAATGATATCAGCTAGCTCTTGGGTTATGTAAGCGGGACTCACTAGAAATGCCAGAGGTAAAGAAAAACAAAAATATACCAGTTGTTATTTCTATAGAAGATGTTCTTACTTCTATAGGGATGTTCTCACTTTCTAATCTTTCCCCATTAAATGAGCTTCCTTGTGTGAGTTAACTTAAGCTGCTCTATAATTTCGGAACTTACCATGAAAGCTTCTGTCATTTACTTTCATTTCTACGAATTTTAATTCACAACCATAAGAGTGCCAGCCAGAGAACATTATACTGTGATACACATACCGACATACACCACCCATAGCTATGACCAAGTTGATTTAGCCGACCAAAGTTCTCATATTCCTTTATCAGTTTTAACATATATTTTCATTTAATCATTTGAAAAATGACATAAAAGTACTTCATCTGCACATAATGCCTATTCCAAATTGTCAAATTTTTACCTGCCCATAACCTACATCAACTCCATAAACATATGATGCACCATACTGAAGTAGGCAATCAGTAAATCCTCCAGTGGACAACCCAGAATCAAGGGCTACTTTGCCAGCCACATCAACACCAAGCTGTTCAATAGCAGCTTCTAACTTATATCCTGCTCTGAATCAGCAAAGGAAACATTCAAACCAACATTAAACATCTCAACAATATAATTGTAGAAAAATGCAAGATGGGTGATCTTCAGAGAATATTCACCTACATACATATTTAGGGATTTCAGCCATAATTTCTACAACAGCCTTGTCAGAGACAGGTGTTCCAGCTTTGTTTACCATCTTTCCATTCACATAAACTTTGCCTGCACCATAGATGTAATATAGAGAAAGATATGTCTCCATGATTTCTACAGTCGGGTCTTCATTCATGTAATTTACATTTCAAGAACTGGCACAACAATTGCACCAAGTGTATTAAAGTACAAGGATGCATGCAATTGAAGAATATTACTTACCTTGTAAAATCCATGACTGTATGAATGTTCGACTATACTGCTGAAACCTTTCAAGACATATCTCATCCAGCCTTTTTTTCCTGAAAATGTCATAAGAGTAAAGCACAATAAGATATAAAGCAACAAGACATGGACAGGTTTCAAGGACCAATATAAGACTCAGACTAAGCTAGGGTAAGTTTGCATCTTCTTCCATTACCAATAAAAATCAATTAGCAATTAATGGCATCCCCAGAATTTCACTGTTACAATATATATTACCATGTAACAAAACTATCTTTCAACAACTATGTAGCAGTCATCAATTGAGTGATATAGGCTTACTTTTTTGGTATTTGAAGTTTTTCTGACTTGAAAACAGCAAAGCTTCTATAGGGACTACGCATATGAGCTTTGACCGATATTACTGGAAACCGAATCCCAACAACCAAAGTACCAGAGCAAAGCCAAAACCAAAAAAAAAAAAAAAAACCGAATTCATTTAGTGCCCAAAAGAAAAGGTAAAGGAAAGAAAATAACACCGATAACAGCTTAAATAAAAGAACAACCGCCCTTTTCTTTTCTCTAATTCCATATACAATCAAAGTGTTTGTGAGAATTACTGAAGAGAATAACAAGAGAACCCAACTCGGTAACAGGCATGAAGACGTTAAATTTGAGTCCAACAGCATATTAAACTAAAAAAAATTCAATGTATGAATCTATAGACAGAGAGAGTGGGTACCATGAAAAGGAGAGTAAGATTTCGATAAGAGAAATAAAGTGGAGCTACCGTTACCGCAGCAGCGTGATATAAAGGGAAGCTTCACAATATGCAGTGCCATTTTCGGCTTCGTTTGGTTAAGTTATTTTTAAAGGTTGTTCAGTTCGATTCAAGAGGTGTAGCCTTGGGAAGCAGATAAAGCCGTGGCGATCAGTGTTAACGAATTACTAAATCTTAAAACGGAGACGAAAGACGAAAAGGCCTAGCCAGAAGTCTTAAAAGGGCCGTGAGATCTTCTGCCGAAGCCTGGAAACCCAGCTTGTATTTGGCAAGCAGGGCCTAATATCATTCTCTTTAGTCTTTTCCAATGGAAAGATTAATTGCCGTTACACCAAATGTCAATTGGTAATTTTTACACACGTAGAAAAATTGACATAGGCAAAATTTGAAAATTAAAAAATAATTTAATTAAAGAATAAAAAATTCTTTTTCTCATCACGTCAATTGACATTTCCTTTTTTTTTCTCAGGTCAATTTCATGTACATCCTTTGGAAAATATTTTTTAGGAAATTATAAGAAAGGGTCAATCGTATAAAGTCATTTCAAAAAAAAGAAATTGTGAAGAATAATTCTCCTGGTTAACCATCAACATAAATTTAATTATTTTTCGTCATATTTAGTTATGACGTGATAAAATTACTTTTGAACTATTTCAAATAAATTAAACTATTTATTATAATTTCTCTTCATTTGTATTTCTGATTTCTCTCTCCCACTATCCAACTCTTTTTAATTTTATCGATTTCTTTTTTCGTCATTCGTCTCCTATACTCTCGATTTCTCTCTCTTACACTTTCAAGACGACAAGAGATAGTTTTGATGTACTTGGGATGAGTGGTTTTTTAGAGAATTTGATTTTTAAGTATTTTGGATAAAACTAAAACAGTAAAAATGATCACAGATGTTTGAAGTAATTTTTAATTGGATGAATTCGGACCTAGACATCAATAAACTAAAAATTTTGAAATTTATAAACCTACGATTTCAAAGGAAATTTTTTTTTTGAATTTTAGTCAAAATAGGTATTTTAAATAAGAAAATTTATGTTTTGATTTATGAAAATATGCTAGAAACAATTAAACAAAAAGAAATAAAGAGAGCAGAGAGGATTTGAAGTTTTGTTCGTAGGTAATAAAACACTTTAAGTATTAAAGTGTAACAAATTTTTTTAAAATATTACGTGTAACAATAATATCTTTTCAACATGACTTGTAACAACATTATTTATTTCATCGTGTAACATGTTTTTTATATGGTGTGTCATAATAATATTTTTTTTTAATCATAGCGTGTAATATATTTTTATATATGACGTGTAACAACAATATATTTTTTTTAACATGACGTGTAACAATAGTTTTTAACAATAACGTGTAACATGTTTTGTATATGACATGTAATAATAATTTTTTTTAAAAAAAATGATATGTAACAACTTTTTTTAATCATGTCGTGTAACATGTTTTTATATATGATCCGTAACAATAATATTTTTTCAACATGGCATGTAACATCATGTAATGGTGTGTAATATCATTAAGGATAATTTTGTCTAACTCAGTTAAAAATAGTTAAAATTATAAAGAGGATTACTTTAAAAAATATTTCATGTTTAAGAGTTATTTTTTAAAATGCCTCTTTCAACATTTAAGGCAAATTAAATCATTTATCACAAATTTTCCTCTTAATTTCTTTCTCCAACATTTGTTTGTTGTGTTTTCGATTTCTCTCTTTCTATCCAACTTTCTTTAATTTTATCGATTTCTCTTTCCCACTATCTAGCCCTCTCTAAGTTTACTACCATCGTTTTCTCTTTCTCTCTATTTCTCGGTATATCGTCATTAATTTACAAATCAAAAAGAAGAGATAACATCAATTTATATTTTTAAATTTATTTATTTACATTCACAAAATCTCAAAATTGATGAGTTGAAGTTATATAACTGACTCTGTAAATTAGAACACTGCTCAGAGTTGTTACACACCATACCTGCATGGCGTTTAACAAATTTATTGAATATGGTATGGTTTAATCATGACATACAACTTGATCTTTATCTTTGTATTTTATTAGAACATAAACTCTTTGACTTAAACACTATAAACATGACATGTAATAATTTTTTTTTCAACATAACGTGTGATAACTTTTTCTTTTTCATATGACGTGCAACTTGGTCTCTACTTTTGTATTTCACTAAGATACAAACTATTGAAGTTAAACACAAAAATAATGTGTAATTATTTTTTTTAACATGATATGTAATAACTTTTTTTTTCATATAGCATGCAAGTTGATTTTTATCTTTGTTTTTTACTAGAAATGGGTGCAATAATTTTTTTTTTTCAACATGACATGTAACTTGGCCTTTATATTTGTATTTGACTAAGACATAAACTCTTATAATTAAATATCTTAAACATAGCATGTAACAACATTGTTTTTTTCAACATAGTATGTAGTAACATAATTTTGAACATGATGTAACAATATTATTTTTTGAACATGACCTATAACTTGATCTCTATTTTTATATTAGTAAGACATATATACTTTAAACATGATGTGTAATAATTTTTTTTTCAACAAGAACTTTTTTGAGTTGGTCTTTCTTGCACTGCATACCACCAGCACATCTTAGGGCTACAATTATTAAGGCTTTGGGATACCCATCAACTAAAGAAAAAGAAATAAAAAACTTATCAAAAAATCAAAATAGCCTTGCCTCCACCTCTCTTTTTTTGCTTCATTTGTTCATTTGTGCGTGCAAAAGGATGACTATGATGATGGCTTTTCTTTCTTTTTTTAATCTTTTCTTTTTTTATACTTTAAATATTTTTTTATTAACTTTTGCACCTCTGTATGATTGTTTTTGAGTAACGATGATGTTGATTTTTTCTTTTTAGAAAATAATAGGAGAAGATTTCAGAGTCATTTTATTTTAAAATATTTTTTAGTTAAAATAATTAAAATTAAAAATATAATTATTTTTAAAAATACCTTATTTTTTAAAGACTAAAAAAAAAAAGTTCATGTCATTTTCTCTTTTATGATTATTCATTACTTAAAGAGTTTTATCATTCGCCAAATTTTATATTTTGTTTAACTTTTTTAACTGCATATTAATGCCCTGAGACAGAGCCAAGTTTTGACTCGAGGGGACCAATACACTTTATGCAGCTATCTAATTAATTTTTAATCTTTTTAAAAGAGAAAAAAATTTATTGTAAGGCTTTTGCATTTAATATATTATTGTATTAAATGTTGTGAAACCTTGATATGTAAAATATTATAAATAATTGTAGTAAAAAAATAGGGAATAAAATTGAAGGTACAAACTTATATAGGTTAATAAACCAAAATGGTATTTGATCAGATAAATAAAACTGAAAGCATCCTTTAAGCTTAAGATAAAAGACAAAAGAAAAAGAGCATAAAAGGAAAGACGAGAGAAAAAAAGAAAATAGTAAAATATTAAATTCAGTATAGAATTTAGAAAAACTAAAATGTTGAATCATAGAATTTATAAGGATCAAGGGGTTGCATACCACAGCGCGAGGCTTCACTAGTGATGAAAATGGGTACCTATTATTCGGGTATTCACGAGTACTCAACCTATTTGATTATTTGAAAAATTTTGTAAATAGGGAATTTTAAACTCTTCAAGACAATTTTAATCATCTCAACCAACTTCCTTTTTTAAAAATTAATAAATATCAATATAAATCTGTGTCAAATGCTTGAACACATTATGTCATAAATGTTTTGTATAATAAATTAAAGACGTGGTTAAAATTTAATGATACATATATAATTTAATTTGTAGTTTGATATATTTGAGTCAATATGAATTTGAAAAACAATAAGTACATTGCTAATAATAAGAAGTTAGAAGGCAAAGCACGTAGAAAATATAGAGGTGGGATAATACCCAAATAAGCTTCAAACTTCACTAAAGGAATGAAAATATATCCACTTCAGTACAAACATTTTGGGTACTTGTCAATAGGCACCAGGTTGGATTACAAGACATGTCTGCAATATTTGGTGTTCTGGATAAGAGATAAGATTCCACACATTCTCCCATCCAATCAACAATATGCAAAATTAAGACCTCATCCTTCTCAGCCAGAACTTTTCCTGCAATTGATACCCTTGAGCCTACTTAGAAAATCTCTTTTTCTCTGTCTATCTCTGCTTGCATTACATATTTCTACCTCCAGTTTACCTTTCTGAGTCTTTTAACAAAATCAATGGCTGCCACTGCTTCTCCAATGGCGAGTCAGCTCAAAAGCAGCTTTACATCTTCTGTTACAAGAGGCCTGGTAGTACCCAGGGGCATTTCTGGAGCCCCATTCAGAGTATCACCCGGCAAGAGGACTCCTTGCTTCACTGTTAAAGCTGTCCAAGCAGACAAGGTAAGCGAGTGCCCTGTAGATTTTCTTCTCATGTTAGTGCTAGGCAAGTGAATAAGTTTATTCTGTTTCCTCCGCTTTGCAGCCAACATATCAAGTGATTGAACCAATCAACGGTGACCCCTTTATTGGAAGTCTTGAGACTCCGGTTACATCAAGCCCCTTGATCGCTTGGTTCCTGTCCAACCTCCCAGCCTACAGGACGGCTGTGAACCCACTCCTCAGGGGTGTCGAGGTGGGTCTGGCCCACGGCTACCTCCTGGTCGGTCCATTCGTTTTGACTGGCCCTCTAAGGAACACACCTGTTGCCGGTCAAGCTGGGTCCCTGGCAGCTGCTGGTCTTGTTGTGATCCTTAGCATTTGCTTGACAATGTATGGCACTGCATCATTCAATGAAGGAGAGCCCTCAACAGCCCCGAGCCTAACCCTGACGGGAAGGAAGAAGGAGCCTGACCAGCTGCAAACTGCGGATGGATGGGCTAAGTTCAGCGGAGGATTCTTCTTTGGTGGAATCTCTGGTGTCATTTGGGCTTACTTCCTTCTCTACGTCCTTGACCTTCCTTACTACTTCAAGTAGATATACATCTACATTTTCCCTTGTTTTGTTACTTAATGTAAATCTATATGTATTCTGGACGATCCCTAGGGAATGAATATCAACTATCGAGTGATTGTCACTGGATGTTCTTGTTAAGAGTTATTGCATAAACAAGTGTCTGTTTCACTGGCAAAATCAGATCAGTGGGTGTTATCTTAGATAAAAGGATAAAACATAATTATCTTAGATAGTCTTATCTCCTTAGGATGATCACAATGGGTGTTATCCTAAAAGTCCAACATCTCCCACTGGTACACAATTGGGACGCCATTCTATCACTCTCTTAAACCGTCCTATTACCAAGTTCTTATTTGGTAATGGATTGTGTGACAGCTCAGTATACTTAAATTTTGCTAGCATTATACTAAGAATCAGAGCCAACATAAAGACACCAACTATTTAAAAAATATAGTATTTCATGTGTCCTCAACTTGTTTGATCACATTAAACTGAGTATCTCAAATCTCTCGAAGAGTATACTTCTATTTCCTTCTGTAAAACATATCATATTACATAAACTTTATCTTATTAGTTAATACTAATAACTATAAAAATAAAGATATAGCAGTGTCTTTTATTAAAAATCAAATACGTAAATAACATAATTAATCTTTAAAACCGATCCCACTGGCTTGTACGACATACCTTGACACCTTCAATCTTTTGCTCTTGAATCCACAATCGACATAACAAAAGGATGAGCTGATAAATTTTGACTTGCCTCAAAGCAGTTAAAATGAGACATAAAGTTGGACAATACTTTCTTCTACAGTTATAACAAGTTAACTTGGCCTTGTCTTTCTTACCACCACGTTTGCCTCCATGGTGCTTGATAGGTTTTTTCCTTCGACGCAGATCCGTTATCAGTGTCCTTCCCAGAGGTTTTTAGACTCCTCATGCGCTTAGGCCCAGATCCCTTGCGTGAATTGAACTGAGTGCATCATTGGTAGTGATAGATTTAGCAGCTTTTAAGCGCTCGTCTTCCGATCTCAAATGACGTGATATGCCATCAAAAGGATGGACACTATCGTTATGTATCATGTTTGCCTTAATGTGCTCCCAAAAGTTAAGAAGAGAAGAAATGATTGCTTGAATCTGTCGCTCATCTATTAGGACAATCCTTGTCCCCTTAAGCTCACAGATCAAGTTAGCATCATTCTCAGATATTATTTCATCGAGTGATGTGCCTTTTTTCTAATAGGTATTGAAGTTTAAGTTCAATTAATCAAGTAAGTCAGAGACGACTCTATATTTATTATTAAAGGTTTGTCACGTCTCATGAACTATTTCATCCTACTCAAACTCACCTATAAGATCGTTTTACATGCTGCTCAGCATAGAAAAATGCACATAACGATCTTTCCTGCACCAATTTTGGTAGGCTTCAAGATCATGATGGTGTTGAGCTGTATTTCTAGCTTCTAGATCTTGAATGATCCATTGAGATTTTCCAAAATTCTTTTGCTCATCTAGGAGATATTGGATTTTACGACACCAAATGTCAATGCACCAATTTTGGTAAGCTTCAAGATCACGATGGTGTTGCGCTATATCTCCAGGTTCTAGTTATTGAATGATCCATCGGGATTTTCCAAAACCTTTGCTCATCTAAAAGATATTGGATTTTACAAGACCAAATGTCATAATTTTTGCCATTCAATTTCTCATATTTGTTCAAATCAACAATAATGTTCTTAAAAACCATACTTAACTACAATTTTTTTGAAAAACTGAGAAGGTATATTGTTAGTAATGTTAGATTCATAATAATGAAGAAATATCCAAAAGAGAGGTGTATTGGATTTTTAAAAATGCTTTTCAACAAATCAAATTTTTAATTAAAACAAGCTTGAACACAATAAGAAAAACTCTAATAATTTTAAAGCTGACATTTATTAATATTTCAAAATCAAGAGGGATACAAGTACAAGCATAAAAAACCGTAGCAAAGCAAAGCCAGTATGCGGTAAAGCAACCACTTGATACTACATCAAGATAACTTAATCCTTCCAAGTGGAAGGGCAAAATAATGCACAACAGATATCAATAATTAACACCATATGATAATATTTTATCACATAAATTCGAATCAAATAATGAAAATAATATACGAGTAATAGTTTCATTTTTAATAGGAAAGAGCTCCCAATGGGGGGACAGTTGTCCAAGTAAAAGTTGGGCTACAGATGTCCATTCATCAACTTTTTCTGTCATGGAAAGGGGAAACTTGCTTCAGGTCCTATAGAAAAACTAGTTGGCTGGTCAACCACCTCACGGATTGGATTGCTTTGAATTCGAATGGCGTATATAGGCCCTCCATTGAATTCAAATGGCATATATAGGCCCTCAATGGAAGCAGCAGTGGCAGGAGGTGTATTTCGAGATGGGAAGGGAGGCTACTCCTTCCGGTTTGGTAAATGCACAGCTTATAGAACTGAACTTTGGGGAGTTTTTAAAGGATTAACCCTTGCTTGAGACCTCGGATACAGAAGAATCAATCTTCAAGTTGATAGTATGTTGACAGTTCAAGCTATAACATCTCCTCTGTCACATCCCTGCTCCAACTCAAATCTGATCAAGGCCATACAGAATCTTCTTCAACGCAAATAGGATGTGAAATCTTGTCATATTTTTCGTGAAGGAAATAACTCGCAGATTTCATGGTAAATTTGGATTTTTCTCAAAACGAGTCTTGTTTAATTTATGATAATCCACCTTTAGGGTCTACAAACTTGCTTTTGTCTAGTATATTAGGTGCTTGTTTTCCACAATTGATTAGAATATAAATATGTTTTTCTTAAAAAAGACTATTTTAAATAATTATGCTCAAAATTAGTTTTAGGAGTAAAATTTAAAAAATTTCACTCAACCAAAACCTCCCACTTAGCATGGCATACCTAGACATGTTATTAAATTGCCTATTATATAAAAATGAAATAATTTTGCTTATGATTATACATGTGTTAATTTTTTACCTGTTCACGACTAATGCAAAGTGACTCTAAGATTTTGATTTTGAACGTCTTATGAACTCATGGTAAGAAACTACTACCAGAGAATTGAGTTGTAACCACACTCTTTCATGGTACAAGAACTTTAGCCTAACAATTGGTTTTTCTCTAGGGAGGAGAGTTTTCTAATCTTTTATTTCTAGAACACTCTTGATGAATTGTTGATGTTGTTTGGTGAACACCTGAACCTATTTATTACCCTTTAAAAAACACCGGATAACTTTTATTAAGATAATCTTAATAATATTTTATCGAAAAATGTTAATGTCTAATAATTTTGATAATTCCAATATATCAAGATCAAAAGGTAAACTATTATTTTAGATAGTCTTATCCAGACAGGATGATTATCATGGATGTTATCTTAAAAGTCCAACATAACAATTGACTTGAATCTTGTTATATTCAACCATCTTTTGAATGGTTTTAATCTTCAATTGAAATTTTGATTAAATCATACAAAATGGTAGCAAAATGAGTTCCATATCATGATTGGCAATTGAGACTACCAAAAGAAAACTATTTGTGCTTTATGTTCATAGAACAGGAATCCTATTCTGTCATAATACTCCTAAGCTCTTGACAGTAGAAACCAATTTGTACATTTCACTTTATACATAATTTAAATACCAAATACATAATTGACTCAAATATTGAATAATGGCAAAGATTCTATAGTAGGAAAATACGAAAAGAGTGTTCAGGATTCGGGTAGAAATAACAATTAAGTAGAATTCCATTAAAGATATGCTTTTCCTCATAACGAACAGTGTACGCACTATTTTCTTCTATGTGTAAAAAGAGAAACAAAACATAAGATGTGGAGTGCCATTGCATACAACGTAAGTTAATAGCAGCCAGAGAATTCCTATCCTCGTCACAGAGTCCCGCTTTATTTGAAAAGAAATAAAAAGAGGCAACGGTTACCCATCTCTTTGTTTGTCATAACTCTCTCTTCCTGAAACGTTATGGCAATCCAAGGCAAGCCCCCTAGTCTCTTTTGCCATCAGTTTCAATGCCCCCTTTACTCTCCCACTGCTTCTAAATCACTTCTATTCGGTAGGTCCTTCCAATCCAGGGCTCAACATCGCTGTAGAAAACCTCTCAGACTTAGCTGCAGGAGATCAAACGCCAATGAGCCACAAGATGTACTCTTTCCTTTTGAGCTCTTTGGTGTACATTACTATTGATTCAAACCAATAATTTGAACGTAAAAGATGTTATATTTTGCAGGATTATCTGATTGATGCACCTGTTTCAGCTGGTGATGGTTTTTCTTTTAGTGGAGGCACGTATACATTCATATGACAATTAATTTTTTTTCTTAAAGTAATGCAGTGGGTAAGAACTTAATGATTGAATGAAAATATTTGTTTCTTTTTGCACAGGAAAATATTCAGATGAGGCTAACCCATCTGATGAATGGTTTAAGCAAGGAAAATATGTGAGTAATGCATGCCTGCAGTCTGCAGATTGCCTGGGTTTTAGCTCTTAATTAGACAATGCTTTGGAGGCCCTTGTGTTACTTAAAATGCCTGCTTGTAGGTTAAAGCTCATCCAGTTGGTGGCACTGGTGAGAAAGCTAAAGATCCAATTTTTGGACTAACCATGGGAGCTGGCTCTCAAGCCTCAGGAGATGTTTTCAGGTAAATGAAATTATTACTTTTAAGTGCTGTTTTGTAACTTATGCCGATGGGTTTAACATGGGTTTCCTTTTATTGAGTTTGATTATTGTCTTTTCTTAGTATTAATTTTAGGTTTCCATGAGGTCTGATCATTTGCAGGATTGAAACATGCTCTCTATCTATATGATTTTATGAAATAGATGGTTTTGCGTGGAAAGTGGAAACGCTGACAATCATACCGTTATTTTGATTCATGGTTTCCCTTCACAGGTTAGTCCCTTTCAATCTTACATTGTGTCACAACGCTTAGGAATCTTGAACCTCCTCGGTAACTAGCTTTGAGGTGCCTTTCCATATGGTAATACTTATCAGATCCTGGTCAAATTATGGTTGGTCTATAAATGTGATGGTTTAGTTTTGTTGACAGGCATACTCCTATCGCAAAGTCCTTCCTGTTCTCTCCAAGAATTATCGTGCTATAGCTTTTGATTGGCTAGGTAAGATCATATATTCATTGTGAATTATATCAGGAACGACCAAGTTCCGAATACAGTTATAGTTTGTGGTCTTGGGTGTCTTGTGGGAAACTCTGAAGAATTCTTTGGTATCATTGTTTAAAGAAACCAGTAATGCCGGCTGACATTAATTGCACTTGCCTAATAGCCTCTAAAATCTAATTAGTACATTTTACGATACTGTAAAAGATGTACGAAACAGAGACTATGTTCTGCTTAGATGATACTATCTACTTTTATCTGATCACCATGTGAGTAAATAAAGGTTTGCTTTCGTTATGTATTTACGGTAAGAGGAGATTCATGTATTTTGACATGATCATCATTTAATGGGGGGTTTTCTACAGAAATTGTTTCCTTTTAGCTCAGAATTTGAGTCTGAAAGTGCAAGAGTTCAGTTTGGCTTGCAAGCCATGGCAATTTAGCAGATGAAACAGAAAATCATTGCAATTTTCATACTATCTTTATTTTTGAAAGTTAATTGTCATACAATCTTAAAATGCATATATATGCTTGTTCTATTTTTTGCTAATTTTTCATCTTCATATAGATGAGAATATTTTGGGTGCATGTGCTTTACTTCATGATTAAGGCTTCAAATACCATAAATCACATACAAGATTGTCTTCAAGGGACCACTTTTGGTGATATCATAGAAGACCTGCATTTTGAATTCCTTAATACTTAAAAATTTTCATAGAAGACCTGCATTTTGAAAGTTAAGACTTACAAAATGGAGAACCTGGCTAGGATTTTTAGCCTTTACGACAGGATAAGTATTCATTATTACAAAGCAGATGATTACAGTTTCTAGGCTTTCTCAATCTTGTTTCTTTCCAATATTAATCTCCTTTAATTTTCAGACTGCATATGATCCATACAGTTTTAAATGAATATAAGGTAATGGTGACAGCTTCTCTGCCTGCTTCTTACCTCCCTTGTTCTACAGGTTTTGGATTTTCTGATAAGCCTCAACCCAGATATGGATTTGACTACACATTGGGTGGTAATTGCTTTACATGCCTGGAAATTAAATCTAGTTTCAACAAATTTATTAACAAAATAAAAGCGTAAGAAATGGAGAATAATGCTTATCTACATCTTCAAAAAAATTTCATACCTAGCAGAATATGTCTCAGCACTGGAGTCCTTTGTTAATGAAGTTGCTCCGAATAAAGTTTCACTTGTTGTCCAGGTATGTTATCTTTCTGTATATATAGACAAGTAGACATAGAGTTAAACTTTTAAATTATGTAACATATAACTAAAACGCTTTTGATCTTTTATGTTTTCAGGGCTATTTTTCACCAGTGGTTGCTAAATATGCCAGCAAGCATCAGGAAAAGCTTAATGATCTAATTCTCCTCAATCCTCCTGTATGAACATCCTGAAACTTTAGTACTGGCATTATTGACTTTCCTTGTGCTATCAACTATAGCTTGGATTATATAACTATAGCCAATTTGGCGTACCTGACAAATACATTTTTAACCTTGATTATTGCAGCTAACAGCCAAACATGCCAATCTTCCCTCGACATTATCCATATTCAGCAACTTTTTGCTGGGTGAAATTTTTTCTCAGGTAAGCACGAGTGCATGATATATATGGCATTTACTAAACAAATGAGTTGTCTATGCCACAGCATATATTTTCTTGCATGTACTTGTGTTTAAGAAATGGAATATAGACAACTATCAATCCATTTTCATAAATTATTGTTTAACTGCTTCTAAGTGGTACCATGTAACAAACATTCTCAATGGCTTGTTCTTCTGCTGAAATAGGATCCTCTGAGGGCCAGTGATAAGGCGCTGACCAGCTGCGGTCCTTATGCAATGAAAGAGGATGATGCAATGGTTTATAGAAGACCTTATCTCACATCTGGTTCCTCTGGATTTGCACTAAATGCAATCAGTAGGGCCATGAAAAAAGAGCTTAAGGTGGATTTATCATTTATAATTTTAATTGTTTATTTTGTCCAAGTTGCACCTAACAGCTTCGACTTTGAGTCTGTGTTCACTCTTTCAAGGGAATCCTCTACCACAGTAATATTTCCATTGTGTTGATTCATCAATATAGCATTTGTCTGTTTTATCTTTCGTATTTTTGTCATCATAGGAGGTGCTGCTAAAAGCTCTTCTATTTACCATATTATTATGGTTGATTATTTGACAGGCCTATGTGGAAGAAATGAAAGTGATTCTTATGGATAAAAGTTGGAAAGTTCAAACCACAGTCTGTTGGGGCCAGAGAGACCGTTGGTTGAGCTATGATCAAGTAGAAGATTTCTGCAAAAGTTCAAACCATAAGCTGATTGAGCTTCCAAAGGTACAAACTTCCCACATTACTATTCACCCTTAGATGACTTCTGTGATGATAAAATTGCAGCTGCATATTTCTGAGGTCTCACCTGCAGAAAACAAAATTCAGATTTTTTTACAGGAGAATTTATATACTGCATTTTTTTTTCTAGAAACCCTGTTCCCATTGAGGATACAGATAGGAAAACCTGACTAATCTCTGTTGCTATAACTCTAAAAGTAGAGGTCATTTGGTTGTTCCCTGCTTCAAATTCTATTTCATTTCCCCATTATACTTCACAATTTTCATATGCCTGAGGTTTTTTTGTTTCTGCTTCGAATCATATGTATCTTTTCATAACCAGACCTATGGCTAAGATTCTTACGCAGGCCACACCTCACTTTACTGGCTGCTTTCTGCAGGCAGGGCATCATGTACAGGAGGATTGTGGTGAAGAAATTGGAGGAATCATTTCTGGAGTCATCAGCCAAAGGATCCTCAGGTGATACGTTATGATTGCTTTTGAGCTGTTGGCACTCCAAACAGTGATTCTTATTTCGTCCATGAGAGCAATTTCATTTTAAGGCTTAAGCCTTTTAAAGCTTGCATTGCAAGCAAGATTCGTTTGAGCTGTGTTGACATTCTTGTAAGAAATCAATTATTTAGAATCATTAGCATGCCTGCAGTGGGTGACTGCTAGTCCAAGCAATATTATTTCCCTAGAGAACTTCAAATAAAGAATCTTTGCCTTTCCATGGACTTAAAATTCTCAGATCAGTTGTAAAAGGTTGCAGCCGATAATATCTTCTCAAGTGGTAGGATAATGTCTTTATTATTTGCTGGTTGAAAGGTAAGATGCATTGATTTTATGCCTTTCCCCCTCAACTCAGTTGTTTCAATCAACAGATAAAGCACTCTCAACATGTCAAAAATCAGAGAATCACTAAGCAAACAAAAAGATTCTTTTGCATCAAGAAAACATGGTGGTTAGGCATAGCTAACTATTGAATAGCACCAAACATGTAGTCTTTCCAAACATGCAGTCTTTCCAACACAAGAATTAAGGAGAAAATTGCAAAAGAGATTAAAGAGAAAGCAGAGAGGGCTTATACCACAGCGTCACCAGAAAAAACGCTAGCAGCAGCACGAGGCCCCACCGCACATGCCACGCTCCAGCATGACGAAGACAGCTCAACTTGGTTCTTTTAAAGTTAGCCGTGGCTAACTCATCCTTAAATTGGCTGAGGATGAGAAGCGAAAGCAAAGCCCACAAAGCGAGGAGTGCCTGCAGGATGATCATCCATTGCTTCCGCTGAGACTTGTAGCTTGAAACAGATGGAAGAATTAAGAAAAGCAAGAGGGTGCAGGAAATGGCGATTAAAGGCAAAGGAAGCCCCATTAACATTGTGGCTAGGCTTGGGTTTTTTGGTTTTGCTTAATGCTTAACCTAGGCTTCCCATGCAGTTATAGTTAGCAACCAACCAGCCCCTTATATATAATAATTGGGTTTTGGGTTTTGTAATAGAAATGCGTTAATTACATATTTTCTTGAGTCATTAAGTTAAAAGATCTATCAGAGTTAAGCATGCTAGGAAATGGTCCAATTATAATTTAGTAAAACAGCATGATATTAGTGAAACAAAAGCTTCAGAATTGAACAAAAAGAGGAGACTGATTTCAGAATTGAACAAAAAGAGGAGACTGATTTTCGGGGTTTTTTTATTTTTATAAAAGAAATTGGCATTTATCCATACAGTTGATCTTCATGGTCCAGTATAACTGTCTAATAAAAATTAGCCGCAGCCCAAGGGTTTGCTACAATAAAGAAGCTTTTAACAACATTTTCTGGGTATTACATAACTAATTTAGTGTATCTATAGTGCAACACAAGTTTCCTGTAGAAGGTTTTTAAATATAATTCTTCTTGTTTTATTCCTTGCTTTGAAAATGCCCCTGTTTGTGACTCTTTACATGCACGTTCAGAACCGAATTCTTCCTCTAATCCTCTTATATGATCATTACTACTGCTTTTTGATCGATGGTTCATACGGATCAAACCAACAATTATCTTGCTTCACAGCTCTCTTCCATCTGTTTTTGAAGATCTCTAATTCAATGAACGATTGCTTTCTGACCTGTGGAAAACAATTTTACAGACAATGAATTGATGAATGCCAAGAGGCCTCTGGCCATCACTAGCTATAGAGTGAAGTGAGCTTGAAAGCTGTGCATAAAGAGTAAGTTCAAGGCTTACCTCAGATCTTCCACCAGGCTCACTGGAAGGTGATGGTACCTGCAAATCCAAAGGTCATTAAAGTATAATTAGGAGAGAGAAAGAATTGGATGGTGATCCCCTTAGTTTAAAGCAAACCCTTTCGGATATGAAACTTAATCCAACCCAGTATGAAATTAAATCCCTAGGCTCAGGTTGGACATGATTTGACTTGTAAACTGAACTGGGTTAGATCAGGTTAGACTTGAAAATGGTATATGTTCTGATTGGACTTTCTAGATAATTATCAACCGTAGGTGGGGTTTGTACAGATTGCGATGCCTCAGGTACTGAACTACTCATGCAGTATTGTCAATATGATCCACAAATTCTTGAAGAAGAGATTGCTTTTCGTCATTAAAGACTTAAAGTATCAAGTATATAATGGATGAGACTGAGCAAGTGATATGAAATAACTCACGGTGACCTAGTGTTTGTTACCCTGTAATGTACAATCAAGCTCTAGGATTCACGCCCCTCCCCCTTGGCCTTGTCCATGTGTATTAAAAATAAGGCATATGATCCTGGGGAACCTTTGGAAAATGCTAGATCCATCTCTGGATTAAATTGAGACACAAGCAAACCAAAGTTTCAAACTTTGGAAGCACTTCAGTCGATTGATCAAATTGAGGAGCCATATATACAGTGGCAGTAATTAATAAAGTTTCTTACCTTGTTTGCTGCCACACCTCCAAGCGTGGGAAGAGCATTGTGAACTAAGTACTCAGAATCAACAATTCCAATTTTTTGAGTTCGATCACCCTGTCAAATAAAGCTTCATAATAAGAAACATGTTCAGAATATCTTTTATAAAAAGGAGGAAAGGCATGATTGAAGGTATAGAATTGCCTGTGCACAGTAACCAAGCTGAAAGTCCACTCCCCATCCATAAACCAGGTCACTCTGATATGGGGAAAACCAAGAATGAGAGGACAGATAAATTAATGGCTAAGCTTTATGAAACAATAAAGCCATGTTAGACAGGCTTTTAAAGAACTTAGAAGTTTATTCACATTGGACCAAAACCATGTCACTGGTAAGAAGGATCTAAGCTGCATTGATCGAACCAAACAAGAAATATCCCACCTTCAACCTTATTATTAGAAATTTGAAATAAACAAACAACCTGACTATCCCTGCATTATCTTTTATTTGAGCCTTTGATATTAATAACATAGCCATTAAATTATAAATGGTAATGATTGTTTACTATTTTAATCAACCTTCAATTTTTTCCATTAGTTTTAGCATCAACTTTCTAGTTTGGATAACGTACCTGAATCATATGCCATGCACAACGCCAAGATGCTGTGGAGAAAACAGGAGCCATCATTTCTACAAACCTGAAATATGCAATGTCTCTTTCTTTTACTCGATGTGAATAGATAATTAAATTGCATACAGCATATTAAGCAAGAATTCAAGGAAACTTTAAAGTAAGGAAAGAGGTATATATTACATATTATGGTATTGTACCATCAACAGAAAAAGACAGGTAGATATTACCCTGTACAAGGAGGGCCTGTGCTGTTTTCATTGCATCTCGTCCTACCAATCACCTTGTATGTCCTCCTGTCAAATACACACAAGTTAGAAATATGCACAGACAAGTTTACTTCAACTAAAATCAGGGAATAAAAGTGATGACAAGCTTCCAGAAATTCTTGAGAATAATTATACAAAACAAGTTATTACTAGGATGAGCTGCCCAGCTCTACAAATGCAATTAACTTATAGTAAAAGCACTCCAATATTATCATTAGACAAAACATTTCCTCATTCCTGAATAGAATTTACTTAGGAAGATAGCGAACCTGTGTAGTGTTGATTTTTTGTCCCTTGATGTAATTGGATGATGCAGCTCTGACTTCTCAGCATCAAGTGCAGGCTGTGATATTTCAAGCCCTTCCTTTTTAATTATTGAAAGATACCTGTATTTTAAGTAATTAAGAGGAGAGAATCAGTTTTTAAACGGTAATGAAGTAAATCCCAAACTTATCTCCCCTCTCCAGAGTTAAATAAACTAAAGCATTTAGCGTTTGTGATAATAAAGCTACGTGCATGTTGCCAAAAAGAGATAAAGTTTCAAGCATTTTTATTGTACTGGATTATAATCTTTCTAGTTACCCCTTAATGATTCTATGAATAATGATGATAAAGTTTTGGATAAGGCCTTGTACCGAAAGGTCTTTAAAATTTATTACAAAGGTTTGCACACCTTATGCTAGCGTTTAGTAATGAACTTGCGGGAGATGCAGAATATCGTTTAAAATCAAACTAATGAAAAATTTATATTTTCATGTACATCCGCTTGTAAACTTATTCACAAAACCCAAATGTTTTTGAAAGCAGTGAGTCTTTCAAAAACATGATTTTACAAATTAACTCATGTTTTTATGGGTTATCATCAACGTAAAAAGGCCTTTTAAGAACATAATTTCGATAAAAATGTACTTTAAAAACAAAATTTAAATGAATATGGTTTTTTAAACATGTTTTTAAATGTGGATTTGGCAAAGAAACAGACAGGACTGATAAGTAGATAAGTTTAAAGGAGGATGGGTCTGGGAATATGTCATTTTTTTTAGCCGGCCTTAATTATTGACTAGATTTTTGTCATTCCCTGTCCACAGGCCAGGCCTTGATGAGCCATTGAACCATCAAGCACAGCACAATCCTTAAACTCTGAGAATCAAACTTCAGTTTCTTACAATTAGATGTTAGTTCTGGTGTAGGTGAAGCAGTGACTGTAAACCAATGTGTATGCTTTTAGAAACAAGCAAAAGATTGTATCAAATCACTATCAAAGGAAGTGAAAAGTAACAAAGCAAGACTTGCACAACAAACCTTGCCGCATTAAAGTGATCGACTCCAAGGTCTTCATCCCACAGGAAGATGTAGGAATACTCTGAAACAATATCTGGATGTAAAAAGCGCTTTGCAAACCACCTAATTCATGAAAGCACATTGTAGAATGCCAAGTTATCCAGAACTGAATCAACATATATAAAAGATGTTTCAAATCTAGAGCTAATGACCATTTACCACTTAGTTTGATTAACAGCAGACACGTGTATAGCAAGGTCATTCCACTCTAAGTCCTTCCACTGGTCCACAATCCCATCGTAATGGAAAAGCATCACAACAAAATCACTTGATGGAAACTGTGACATGGAACAAAAGGAGGAAAAAAGGGATGTATAACATAAATCTAACTTAAATAATGCAACAAAAGAATGACATTTAGCATAAATCTAAAATAATAACGTAAAATATAAAGTCTTTCTTTTCACCTTCTTGACGATTTTGTTGACACTTTCTTTTTGCTTGATTCCAACAGCAATGGCTAATAAGTTCATAGACAACTTTGACTTCTAAACAAAAGTAAAGGGAATGGATTAATGAAACAGCTATATTACAAATGTCCATTATAAAATCAACTTAACATGTTGAAAATAACAAAATACAAAACTTATGACAGAACAGCATAGTTCTGACAGAGGATGTAAACTGAGAAAGAAAGGGAATAGTATGTCTCTTCTTATTACTTTATATGAGTTTTACACTGCATTTTTAACAACAATAAAGGACATATTTGGGAAAATAAAAAAAGGGTAAATACATACATAGGCTTAGGCGCTTAGCCACAAGTCTGCAAGACTATAGCCAGATAGCACTAAAGATTCTAAAAGCTTATCACAGCGTGACCAGAAAAGCAAGTCCCAATCAAATTCCCCAATGATTTACTGTTGACAGTTGGCAACTGTTGCCTCTTGTAAATTTAAAATTCATAGAGATTCCAGACCAGAAAAAACAAACTAGGCAAAGTTGTAAACCACAGTAGATAAAAATGGAGGTCAGAGTTTAGTCAGATAGGTACAGTCCAATTGTGGCAATATCCAGTGCTAGAAGCGGGAGAAGACACTGACACATATGGATCATCTCAGCTTACAAAATGTTAAACTAAAAGGAACAAATGCAAATCTATATGCCACTAACCAGACTAACCTGAAGCCAAATAGTCTGAAATAAAAAAAAAAAAATCCTTAATAGCTAATACCATCTTGCAAAAGGAACAGTACTTGTCCAGCCATTATGTTTTAGAAGACAAACTGGACAACTGGAAAAAGTGTAATGCACTTTCATTGGGGAATGCATAACTACCAAAGGATTAATGTTGTCATTGATATAAGCAACAAAACAGCTTACCTTCTTATTCTGTAGGCCCCATAATGGTCGCATTTCTAAGTCAGATGTCTCAGAAATAATTCCCTTAGGTAACGTCTCACTTCCATAAGCCCTACACTGAGTCTAAGCTCAAGTGACAGGAAAAAGGAATACTTAAGAGATTCATGTACACAAGTAGAACACATACATAACATAAAATATACCAAACGAACCTCACAAGTCTTAGGTCTTGTATATTGCAAAACAATAACTGATCTCCATCCTAAAATTCTCTGCACAAAGAAGGCCCCAATTCACACATTATTTACTTGATTATAGAAAACATAATACAACAGTTTGCAAGAAAGGGTTGGTATGGAGTTTTTTTTTTTTTTCTTATTTTACTAATTAGATTGAAAACTTACTTAGGCATATTTAGCATGCATGAACTAGATAAAGAAAATAAATGCAAATTACAAATAGGAAAAGAAGTAACTTCTGAGTTCTAATGTCAGAGAAACCAAGAGGAAATCCTTTCTTTTTGAGGTTCGGTTAGATTTCAACTTTATGCAAACTGTGCTTAGACATGTATACCTCTTTATAGTCTGTGATTATAAATGCACTTCCTATGAAGAAGGCTGCGGAAAGCAAAAGAATCATGGGGAGGAATCGGTGCGTAAATAATCTCTGCCTTCTAGGTTCTGCCTTTAGAGATATCTGAGAACAAGAGGATACAAAGAAGATAAGACAGGATAAGATGCAAAATAGTTTTCATTTTATTTTCCTTTGAAGAGGTTGCACTTCAGACTACAGAGACAAAAGGAAACTGTTCTTCCAAAACCATATTCGACGGACCATTTATGAAAATTATATTTATAGTTGGAAGCAGTAATGAGAAATGAGACACCTACAATTTTATCTGTCCTGCCAGTAATCCCAGGCTTCCAAAGAACAGGTAAAGACAGTAACATATGCCAACATTAAGAAGTTTCCTAAACTACCACTAGAAAACAATTAAAAACAAGATCTCAGGGTGCAATTTGTTAATGCATGTAGTTGGTATGAGGAGGAGTTAAATTCCTCAAGATGCAAGAAGGAAAAGGCATTCATTAGGGGTTCCAACAGAGTTGAGATATACCAAATAAAATTTAAAATTTATTTCTACTTAGAAAGGAATATTATTAAGCATCAAACTCAACTAATTTGATATCCCGTTAAAGCTCCAAGAATAAGTTACTCCCCTACACCCTCCTTCCCCCTCCCACACACAACCCACCCCCCCCCAAAAAAAAAAAAGAATATATATCTACATATACATATTTATATATAGTGTAGATCATATTAATTATAATTTAAGATTTATACAACCGTCCATGTATGAAAAAAGAATTTCATACTATATAAATCTCTCAAGTCATTCTTATTAAACACGCAACAGTTATGAAAACAATAAGCATTGAGCAACTTCCTCAGAGTGATCAATAAACCTACACCAGCACTCAAGCAATATTAATATTCTTGTGGTTGGGTCAGAGGGGAAAGGGTCACTGGATCCTCATCAACAATGCTGTTAAAAGCTTTCAATTTTTCATTTTTAAGAACTCAAACATCCAAAAATGTAAGCAAGCCTACAAGATAACTGTGTAACGAATATATAGTTTGGAGCAAAGAAACCAATTACCAGAAGTGATAGTACATAATCAGTACATGGACATGTACTGACTGTTTATTCATTCAGACTGTTAGGTGTACCCACTTATCTTATCAATGATTGATTGAACCATTCACTTTCAACTCTAATTTACGGTATAACTCAAAACTCAAAATCCACCTTGTTTTCTGTTTGATTTGAAAGCTCATTTCTTGAAAACACTTCAGTGGACATTCCGGAAAAGAAACTCAAATTTCTCCCTGCATTTCTATAGTGATTCATGCTAGTAGTATGACTTTTAGACTGAGTAACAATTTTCCTGAAGGTGACATAGGATTTTAAATGATATTACTAAAAACCAAAATGGGAAAGTCCCTGTGCATCATTTTTAAGAACATGGCAAAAAAAAAAAAGTTAGTTATTTGGCATTTTCATGCTTCCAAGCAGTGCCCCAGTGGTACAGCTGCTGCAGTTTAATGAAGATGTTATTTTATTTTTATTGAAAACAATCCTCATACCCCCGATCCAACTCATTGACACGATCTAATCCTTTCCTTAACCAAGCAAAGCATGGAATGGCTGACCTTCATTTCTAAATCATTAAGCTTTTTCTTTTCTTTAACTTTTGAACTGAAGACCAAACAAACTGGATCAATCATATGCAACTTGTCATCACTCACCAATCATAACATAAACAGTAAGCTAACAACTCCTTAACACTTCCACTCAGAGAACAAACTAGAACAAAATCAAACCCAAAAACTAATATTCCAAACATCTTTCTAAAGTCAGAGAGCAAAACCCAAGAATATTTACCATGATTCCTTTAGAGAAAAGAAAAAACTTTTGTCAAAACCAAGAAGCCCAAGAAACAAAATAATAACCTTTCATAAGACAAACATGGGGCAATAAAATAAAGATAGAGAGAAGCTTACAGAAGTTGACATCCTCTTCTTCATCTTGATCTTCCATTCAATGGGATCGTAGTGTTGTTTTTTGTGGAATAAAAAAAAAAAAGCATAGCAGAGGGGAAGGAAAGCTTTAAAGTTACTTACGACTGTAAAAAGTGTTTTTTTTTTTAAATTTTTATGACTCTTTTTTTTTTTTTACGCTTAAAAACAAGGCAAAAGTAAAAAACGTGCTCTCCGCGTGGGAATTACAAACGCCATTGCCTGCGGCAATGGGTCTTCCATGCTTTCCATTGGGGGTTAAAAAAAAAGAGGAGAGAGGCATAAAGAGAATGAGAATATATTAATTTTCTGATAGGTACACTTATAATAAATTAGTACTAGAATTTTATTTTTTATAATACTTTAATTAAAAATTAATAAAATCTTAAATATAGTCCTATCCTTAGGTAATATCGTATTTTTTCTATAATTACATATAGAATTTATAAATTTAATAAGATGTGATCCTCATGATCAAGAAATTAATGGCAACTTGTTTTGTTTATATTTTTACATTCAAGGGTTAAATTTATATTTTAAAACTACTTTGAAAGAAGAATTTGAATTCTTAACTTTAGAATGTAATTATCATCATGTTATGGTTTTAACAATAATTTTGGGCTCTATCATTTTAGGAATATATATCAACAGAAAAAATCTAATACTATTTGGATATTTTGTGATTAAAAATGAAATACTTTAGATTTGATATTAATTGATAATCATATTTTAATCCAAGATCTAGTACTTAAAATTGAATCAAGAATTAATAATAAAGAATCCCTATTTTCATTGCGACTTGCAAGTGATAAGATCAATTATTGATGCTAAGACCTTTCATTTCACTTTTAAGTATTGTGCACAACGTCACAAGTTCTTTCTATTGGTTTAAAAGGAAGCTATCTCTTCTATCATTAGATAACTCATTATCTTCAACGCCCTCAGCCATACTTGTATTTTTCTTCGCCACTTCATCTCTTTTCTTTTGATGGCTTCCAAGATATAGGAACTAAATCATTCATAACCAAAAAATAATTTGAATTAACTTGACTCAATATGCTTTAAACTAATTAAGGAAAAAAATTGAAAATTGCCTAAAACTGTATCTACACTTGATCTTAGCCAAAAAACTGAGAAACGTATCCTAAAACTGTAAAAACCTATATCTAAAGGTCACGATTTCTCTCTTAAGTGCTCAAAATGTGATAAGATAACTCTATACTCCAAACTTAATATTTTACTAATCTTACAATAAAACCTAAAATAAAAGAAAATAATATAAATAAAGAAAACATCTAACTAGACGTAGGTAGTACCAAGTCACTAATCACCTTTAAATTCCTCCTAAATTATCTCATTTTCTCAACTCAAAACAAAACATAAATATTATTCAAGTTTACATTTCAACTCAAATGCAAGTTCATTCTCGAATAGATTCTCGTGTGTATGTGCAATCTCTTGCAATAAACATCAAGCCATCTTGGTAAATTTACAATTATGCAAAATTCAAATTAATCTAGAGTTTTATGTGTTTGCTTTTCATCTCTTTCTCCACTAATGTAGACTAACACTTAATCAAGAATCCTTATAACTTTATTAAGCTTGTAATGTATGGCTAAGGTCAATGTAAGATATGAGATAATATGTGGCTCAAATCACCTTAAGTGTATAATCATTATAGAACCTATATAAAGCTTTTTCCTTCATTTCTCCTAGTAATACTCTTTTCTTTTCTTCAACCTTTTCATTCGCCAAACACTTTATTCTTTTTTATTTTTTTATCCTTTTCTTTTTTTTTTATTTATTCACAATTTAATACTCCCAAACTTTTTTCTTTTTATGATAAGTAGTAAGTTGGGTACTAACACAAATTTTTTAATTTTTACAACTTTACGTTTTCTACCTTTTCATCACTTAGTTCAATATACTTCCTAAAATTACTTACAAACTTAGGAGTGATGGTGCAAAATTGAAAAATTATTTAAGCCTAAGATTATTTAATTATGTGTTTAACAAAGAAAAAGAAAGAAAAATTAGGCTTAAAAGGATATTATAGGGATAAATATATAACAATGTAGACTCGAAAGGCTCAATTGCTCCAAAGATGGTTTAAGTTATTTCCTTAACTAAGTATAGACTATGATTTCACTTTGAGAGAAAGTTAAAGAAATTTTAGAACTCAAGACATTATTCAAAAATTTACATTCATATAAATCTTCTCTAAATGTACACAATAATTCAAAGCAAGAAATATAGTGCTCAAATTATGAAAAATCTCATCTTACAATAATGCTTAACATAAAAGTTCAACATAATACTCAAATAATATTTACATTTATTAAAAGCAAAAGATGCAAGATAACCATTTTCATGATTGGATAGGTGAATCAAAGAAATTGACACAACTCACTCTAACTCAAGTTCTCAAACATGCACTAAATTAAATGATAAACAAACTAACTAAACTTAAAATCTTAAATCTTAAATGTCAAAAGATTAAACCCATGCTTAAAAACTTAAAAGTCCATACCTCCAAACTTAAAACTAACATTGTCCTCAATATTACTAAAATAGATAAAGCAAGGGAAGAGAATACTCCCGTGGAATTTTGGAAAGATTGCATTGAAAGCTCTATTCCTTTTCCTTTTTTTCATCATTATATCCAAAGCTAAAAGGAGGACAAATTGAATAAAAAGAACAAGAATAAAAAAATTAATAGTGAATTAAAAATAACATAAAAATAAAAATAACCAAAGCTGGAGGGAGGATAAAACGAATAAAAAGAATAAGAATAAAAAAATTAATTGTGAATTATAAATAATAAAAAAATAAAATAACTTTAAAAAAAAAGAGTAAGAGTTTTGAAAGCTTGGGTTGCCTCTTAAGAAACACTTCTTTATAGTTAATAGCTTGACTATGACACCCATTTTTACACTTCTTCACCCACGAAATAAGGCTTGAAGCTTAACCCATTAACCATGAATGCCTTATTATCAATCTCTATTATACCACAAAGATAAACCTTTACCACCTTGAAAAGACCCATCCATCTTGATTTGTGTTCTATGGAAAAAGCTTGAAACATGAATTATAAAGTAACATTACTTTTTGTCCAACCTCAAAACTAGTTGTTGTAAGATATTCCTTGTCAAAATCCTCCTTAGCCAACTCATCACCTGAATTTATTCTATATCAACTTTCTGTAGAGGAAAGATACTTAGCTGTATTGAATATATTAAACTTGACTACCTACTCTCCAATTTTGAAAGTTATTTTGTCATTTTTTACATCTATGATTGCTCTTACTATTGCCAAGAATAGTCATCCCAAAATCAGAGGAATTGCAACATCCTCCTCTATCTCAAGCATAATAAAGTCCATCGGAATGTACAACTTCTCAACTTTAATAAAAACAGCCTCTATAATTCCAATAAGGTACCTAATTATTCTGTCTGCTAATTGCAAAGTAATTGTAGGTTGTATCTCCTTAAATCTAAGTTTCTTTGCAATAGACAAAGACATAATTGAAACACCAACACCCAAATCATACAAAGTTTAGAAAATTTAGCACTACGAATAGTAGAAGGGATAGAAAAACTCCCTAAATCGTTAAGTTTTGGTAGAAGCTTATTTTGAACTATAGCATGGCACTCTTTAGTAAGTGTAACTATCTCAAAATCTTTCAATTTTCTTTTCTTAGTCGGGATGTCACTTAGAAATTTAACATAGCTTGGCATCTATTCCAAAGCTTCAATAAAAGGGATATTAATCTAGAGCTTTTTGAATACCTCGAGAAACTTTTTGAACTACTTGTCAAGTTTCTACTTTTGAAATTGTTAAGGAAAAGGTGGTGGTGGTGGGATAGACTTAGCCTTTTTTCCTTGAGCTTGTGTATCATAATTCTCAACCACTGTTTCCTTTTCAATAGACTTACTTGATGAATTTGTTTGCTTACTACTAACTTCTACCTCTTTGCCACTCCATATGGTGATTGCATTATAATGCTTCTTATTTTCTCTTTTGGATTGGATTCAATGTCACTTTGTAAGGTTCCTTGGGGCCTATTGTGAATTTATTTTTCTTTGCTGATTGGTGAATATTTTTATGAAAGTTTCAAATTTAATTTTATTTGCATATTTATTTAGACTTTAAATAAATATGATTAGTTGATCATTTAAATATTTATGCTTGCTTGAATTTTTAGGAATCTAGAGCAAAATTGTATCAAATTTTTTTGATGATTTCTTTATCTAATGATGATAACTAGTTATCTTATATTTTTAGCTTTTGGTGAATAAGGTTTTTATTTAGATTCATGATAAATTCTTTTATTTAGTATCACTGTTGGGATGTGATTTCTATAATTTTGAGCAATTTACCTCTTTCCTTGAATTGTTGTGAAAATCTAGAGAAGGTTTATGTAGATATAAAATTTGGATAATGTCATGAATTTTGGAATTTGCTTGATTGTTTCTTAAGGTGAAATCTTCGGCGATACTTAGTTAGGGATATGATTTAGGTCATTTTTAGACCATTTGAGCTTAAAAAACCAACCTTGATATATTTTTATCCTTATTATATCCCTTTGAGCCTAATTTCTATTTTCTTTGTTCAACCACATAATAATAAGCCTAGCCTTAAAATAAAATTTTCAATTTTGCAACCCTCATACCTAACCATGTATATTGTTTTAGAAAATATATATTGAGCTAAATGCATATGGTAGAAAGGTGATGTTGATGTGAAAAAAGTTCAAAATATTAAAAATCACCCCACTACTTACAATATAAAGAAATACGTTTGAGGATGTAAATTTGTGAAATTATGAAAAAAAAAAAGAAGAGAAAAAAGTAAAATAAAGTGTTGAACAAAAGAAAAGTTTAAAGAAAAGGCAAAGGAGTTCCTTGGAGAATGAAAATAAAGTTCTATATATAGGTCCTAGAATTATTATGTACTTAGGGTGATTTAAGCCACATTGTATCCTTCATCCTACCTTGACCCTAGCCATACATTGCATGTCGTATAAAGTGCTATTGATTCTTAGCTTTTTATTAGTCTGCATTAATAAAGAGAGATGAAAAGTAAACTTATAAAGTTCTAATACTGATTGGAATTTTGTGTTGGCATAAACTCATCTA